AAGATAATACAATGTCCTTACTAAACAAAGAGAAGAACCGCCGTGTTTTTTATATACCAAAGTGGTGGGTATATTATGAAACGTTGGTACTTTATACTCCCCTCCCTTCCACTAGGCTGGGCGTGACGTAATAAAAGGGACTCCAAGCCAAGAGTTAGAGTTAGTCTAACGGCAAGTCGGCTAACAATTCTATCGAAATGTTTTTAGATTAATTTTTCAGATTTACGCGTGCAAGTGAGTAACCTAATTTTGAAGTTTGTTGGTTAAATTTAGTTTGATTTAATTGGAACTGATTTGAAAACTGAAGTTTTCCCAAACTTGCAAACTTAAAGAGGCCGGCGGGTCCTCTGAATCTTGTGGGTCGCCACCACTCGCCATACTCTTCCTAAGTGCTGCTATCTCTGACTCACTCACTGGGCCGTTGACCTGACAAAAAACTACATAGGCGGAGCTACAGATTATGTGTCCCTAAAGAACCTGCATATCTAACAGTAGTTCTGAATTACATTAATTAATTTGCTCAGGAATTTTATTTATTTTATTCCGTATAACAGTTATGCTCAGTGTATATGCATGCGGTCCATCAAGAATTTGATGGTTTCCCACCTCCTCAGTCTCCCGGTCGTTCTCCATAGTCAAGCCACAAACAGAAGTATGGGTTGCTAGTAGGGTTGCCACCTGTCCCGGGAAATGAAAGCACTTTCCCGGGACACTGAATGTCCCGGTTTTCGAAAGGCTACAAGAATATGTATGTTCAAACTGTGTAGTGCCAATATGACATCATGACTTTTGCGTAAACATATCTCTACGCATTTTGAGCTATCCGTGTGTATCCGCGTGTATGTCTACGCCATTAATGTCCGAGTGATTCCGCGTGTCTGTACACGCCGTCAAATATTTGCGCGAAACGAAGCAAAATGTAGATCTACATCTGGGGAGCGATCTTTTTTTTCCCTTGGATGGTAAAGGAACAGTCATAAATGCCATTAACCCCAGTGACGGGTAGGTTTAGGGACGGGGTTGAGGTAAGTCATATATTTATATATACAGTAATAACGTTAAGTCAACGACGTTCATAAACACGCTGAAAAGCAATTTTGCGTCTTGATAGCACGCCAAAAATGGAAATATGAATTGGCGTGTCATACACACGCTACTTCATGAGATCAGTCTGGTAGTGCTGGTAGCAGGGCTCGACATAAGCAATGGCCCGATGGCCCGGGGCCAGTAAAAGAGTATGCGGGCTAGTTGATTGGCCAGTCACTTGCCCGCGCGGGCCAGTAACTGGCGATCAGCTAAACATACAGCAAACGTCATACACAATGTGGCACGAAGAGTGTCAATGTTAAAATGCCAAAGAACTTTAGAAGACCGATAAGCTCGGACGTTATTGTTATTGCTGTCGCTGGAGAAATACATGTAGGCTATCATTTATTATTGCTATAAAAAATTAACCATCTCGCTGAGTCGCCAGCCATGTCTAGGCCTATATATAATACAATTAAACCATTTGTCTGTGATGCATTTTGCTATTCGCGCAGTCCAGAAGAGGGAGAGAGAGAGATAGCTCATGCGGTGCCACAGCGCGCACAACACCTGACGGAGGACAGAACTAAGCATTCAAGTTATGATTACACTTTAGATCTGTGATATAATAATATGATTTTATTTTAGATTTCAGCTTCCAAAGATTATAGAATATATTTGAGGTAAAACCACTAAAAACTGCATTCTGTCTAGCGCAACGTCTTTCCCATCACAGCAGTACAGTAGCACGCTGCCATTTCTCCTTAACTCAAACTTTAATACAGAATCAGCACGATCGGTGATTGTTGTAAAATGCAGTCATTTCTGTTGCTAAATTGCGGGGTGCGTTTAATAATAAAAAGAGCTATTAAAAGCACAAAAAGCGCAAGAGATGCTGTTCCCGATGCGGCGCGCGCTCCGAAACAGACCGCAGCGAGATAAGTATATACTTTGGGCTTCATGTGCGCGTCTAAACGACCAAATGTACACAACAATGTGTCAAAATGACTGGCTTGGAGATTCACTTAAACAGTTTATATCTAAAATGGATGCAGTTATGGAAATAGTTGGGAGAAAATGGTGCATCAGTAGTAGACTGACATCTGCATTCGTTCTTAAAGGGGAAGCAGTCTAATATGCGGACGATTGCGACATTACTGCGAATCAAACAACTAAAGGCAAAAAGAAAATCACCCACTGCTCTTGAATGAATAACTTTAGCTTTAATAAGTAAGATGAGGAGACTGAGGGAAAAAGACAGAGAGTGATCGAGATGAGGAGAGAGCAGGTATTGACAAATAATCTACTGGACGCTGAAATTAGGTTATTTTTGCATGTCTCCAGGGTCTCAACGTTCTGATAACATTGTTAACAAATTGTAAACCATATATAAAATACATGTAAAATAAAGCTATTTATTTTGACTTGATGTTGACAATTGATATGAAACTTTACTGACCATTTTTTGGAAGAAAATAAAACTACTTCTGCAGCCATTTCATAGTTTATCTGTTTATCTAAAAGTTATTATATGCTTGAATGTTTCTAACATGAATGTTCTTCAGCATCATGAATGAATGAATTAATGAATGAAGAATAAACACCAACCTCTTTGTTCTTCAGGACCTTCAGTGTGTTTCATTCTGCAGGGTTCTGGATCACTCATGTTCTCACTGTCCTCTTTAATAAACTCAGTCTTTGCAGATTTCAGCTCTCCCTGATGCTCTGATGATCGTCTTTACTTGTAGATGATGGGAATTTACAGCATTTATTGGAGAATGACAGTGGGAGGAGCTTCAATAATGATGTGATCTGCCAAAATTTCAAAAAAGTTACTGAATTTGTTTTTAATCTCACAGACAACAGATTAAAATAATTCTTCCAAATTTAAATAATGATAAGAAAATGAAACAAGCTACATTATAAGCTACATTATAGTAACCAACAAATTCTCACAGTCTGTTCACACTAATGACATGAGTTAAGTGTCAATTTACAGGAGATCTGAAGACATCAGCATAATAAATGAGGTGAAAACAGGAACTATTGTCATGAAATAAAGAGTGTTTTCAGCAGATCTGTTAATATTGATGATCCTCAGACTATCAACACTCATTCAACAAGACATTCAGGATCATCAGCAGATCATCTCACTTTATTCCGAGTGTTTGCTGTTAGAAACACATTATTTGAGTTAGGATATGAAAAGCCTGTAAAACTGCTCTAGTGAAAGGCAATACTGTTATTTTTCACAATATAAAATGGATAAATCATCAATAACAGAAGAAAAGGTTTTATTAAAATATATATTTACTAACCTCTACAGGCAAATAACTATAGTTTGACTTTATAATATCTATTAATTGCAATAAATTCAATCATTAACATGTTACAGATTTGTAAATGGACAATGATAATAAAACTCTTAAAAAATTACGCTGTTTCCTGTCAGTCTTCATTAATATTTGGGTCAGTGATAAACAAGGTTTGTCAAGATGAGAAATTCTAAGATTTTATTTAAGTTATCTCTAAATGTAATTTTTTTTATTTGGTTTTTCAATATTTTTCAGGACATGCTGACAACACCAACATAGCATAGCAAGGGTTTTGCTTAACCATTTACAGTTTTCTAATGATGAAAATGTTAAATAATTTTTATTTTATCTTCTGTGATGGTGAAAAAGCCACATCACATCAACTATATGTAATCTGCCAAAGATAAATGTAGACAAAGAAGTAAACATGAAAATGGCAACAGCAACACTTCCAAATCAATTTCCCTCACAGATCTCAAACTTTGCCTTGACACAGTTACAGTTCTCACTCCAAACATCGAGACAATCACTCAAACGAACACACACTCGCTCAGGTCTGAATGAACTCCACATATTCTCCTCAGACTCGCTGCTGCTGCACTAAATGTTTATTTCAGGAGGAAGACGCCAGAAAAGACACTCAAGTATCGCTGTGATCGATGAAAACAATAAATGAGTCTGTCGCTTAATCAATAGTATAAAGTGTGTGATGGGTATGTAAATATGAGAAATACCGTGAACAGCTCTCCTCACCTCAGAAGACTCGACGCTGAAAATTCAATGAGGGAAGAGACGGCGCGAACGGTGACGTCATCGGCATCCGAAGCACGGGCGCACATTGCGCGCGAACGGGACAAATCTTCTTCTTTCGAAGTTTTATGGCAGTTGGCAATCCAGCTAAAATGCCCATTTACCGCCACCAACTGGACAGGAGTGTTAAGCGTTAACCGAGTGAAGCTGATTAAAAAAAAATCTATTAAACTACATTCTGTTAGCCAATGCTGTTTCCCTTATATAATCTCTCCATTTTTTTTTCCTTTTTATATCCTGCCTGGACGCTGACTTTCTATTTACTCACTAAAGCTGAATAGGAGTCTGAGCAAATCTCGCTATATTCAACGTTTTCCATTCATTGAAGTGCCATTAAAATCCCAAGTTAGGTCTACATCTGTTCAAATAAATTAACCCTGTGGGATCTAAGGTGTTTTTGGGGTCCTTGTGATGTTTTGACATGTCCTGACATTTGTGCTTTTTCAGTTGCTTATAAAAGCTATTTCTTTCATAAAAAATTCCATATACCATATTCTAAAATGGTAATAAATTAATTGTATACAAAATTATAAAACATAACTTCATTTAAAATGCATGAAGAGTCCTGAACATGGTAGCTATAATTTGATGCAACTGGTATCGGTCGATTCTGAAAAATATGGTATCTGTCCATCCCTATTTGATACTGGATATCAAGGGTGAAACTGTTAATAATGTAGACAGACAGCAATCTCATTCAAGGTCAGTCATGTGTGGGTAAAATATAATGTATACACCATTTAAAAGCTCTATGGAGAAATTAACAACTTGGAAAGCTTCATGGCTTTCATAACTAAATAATTCCTGATTCAAACAGAAAATAAAGATGGACAAAAACAACAAGGTGTTGATATGGAGTAATGTGTTTAATCAATTATTACATGAAGCAAATACAAACATTAAGTAAAAGTGAATGAGACAGATCTCTCTCTTTACCGACTTATAAGAGCCAAAGCATCTCAAGAGAAGAAGAGAAGTGTCCAGTTTCGAGGTAACACAATAAGGTTCATTAGTTAACATGAATTAAGAATGAACAATACTTCTAAAGCATTTATTAATCTCAGTTAATATCAATTAATAGTACATTATTAAAATCTAAAGTTGTATTTGTTAACAATAGTTAATGCTGTGAACCAAAATGAACAATGACTTATAAAGTAACAAATGCATAGCTCATTGTTAGTTAATATATTAACTAATGTTAACTAATGAGTGTTAATGATTTGCATGGAAGAGTAGAAGTAGAATAGGAAATAAGATGTTCAAATGAAAAACAAACAAAGAAGAATGAGTCAAAAATGAATATAAGATTCACGTCTCTCTTAAAAGTGTTATGGCCTCTTTTCCAGTGTGTGTTTCAGTTCATCTTCTGTAGAAAAGGACTTCCTGCACTGAAACACACACCCCAATGTCTATTCTGCTGTAATGTTACTAATGAATCTTGATCACAGTTCAATTGGCACTGATCACAGTTAAATGGTCTTTCTCCAGAATGAGAAGAAGACGTGATTTCAGAGAGAAAGCCTGAGCCGCTTCTTCCCAGTGTGAACTCTCATGTGAGTCTTCAGACTTGATGAACACGCAAAGCATTTTTTACACTGAGGGCAGGAGACGGATGTTTGGCTTCTGTTTTCCTTTCTTGTTCACGTCCATCAGGTCTAAAAGACAAATTAAATCAAGTGAGATTTCAAATGAGAGACAAAGTAAACAAATATATGTAAGGCCTGCATGAATATGACGAAAATCATAATTGTCATTATTAAGTACGATGAACACAATTTACATTGAACCTACACTTACTTAAATGATTAATAGGAACACCTGTTCAATTTCTCATTATTGCAATTATTTAATCAACCAATCACATGGCAGTTGCTTCAATGCATTTAGGGGTGTGGTCCTGGTCAAGACAATCTCCTGAACTCCAAACTGAATGTCAGAATGGGAAAGAAAGGTGATTTAAGCAATTTTGAGCGTGGCATGGTTGTTGGTGTCTGAGTATTTCACAATCTGCTCAGTTACTGGGATTTTCACACACATCCATTTCTAGGGTTTACAAAGAATGCTGTGAAAAGGGAAAAACATCCAGTATGCGGCAGTCCTGTGGGCGAAAATGCCTTGTTGATGCCAGAGGTCAGAGGAGAATGGGCCGACTGATTCAAGCTGACAGAAGAGCAACTTTGACTGAAATAACCACTCGTTACAACCGAGGTATTCAGCAAAGCATTTGTAAAGAAGACACAACACACACAACCTTAAGGCGGATAGGCTACAAAAGCAGAAGACCCACCGGGTACCACTCATCTCCACTACAAATAGGAAAAAGAGGCCACAATTCGCAAGAGCTCACCAAAATTGGACAGTTGAAGACTGGAAAAATGTTGCCTGGTCTGATGAGTCTCGATTCAGATGGTAGAGTCAGAATTTGGCGTAAACAGAATGAGAACATGGATCCATCATGCCTTGTTCCCACTGTGCAGGCTGGTGGTGGTGGTGTAATGGTGTGGGGGATGTTTTCTTGGCACACTTTGCTCCTTAGTGCCAATTAGGCATCGTTTAAACGCCACGGCCTACCTGAGCATTGTTTCAGACCATGTCCAACCCTTTTATGGCCACCATGTCCCCATCCTCTGATGGCTACTTTCAGCAGGATAATGCACCATGTCACAAAGCTCGAATCATTTCAAATTGGTTTCTTGAACATGTCAATGAGTTGACTGTACTAAAATGGCCGCCACAGTCACCAGATATCAATAGAGCATCTTTGGGATGTGGTGGAACGGGAGCTTCGTGCCCTGGATGTGCATCCCACAAATCTCCATCAACTGCAAGATGCTATCCTATCAATATGGGCCAACATTTCTAAAGAATGCTTTCAGCACCTTGTTGAATCAATGCCACATAGAATTCAGGCAGTCTTGAAGGTGATAGGGGACAAACACAGAATTAGTATGGAGTTCGTAATAATCCTTTAGGTGAGTGTGTATATATATTAGGGGTGTAACGATACATGTATTCGTATTGAACTTTCGTGTATGTGTGAGGGATAGGCTGTCCTCGATAATGTCAAATCGCACATTGTTAAAACAACAATTACGATATTATCGCAGACGATATATATCACACACCCATGAGGGGTCGTACACACTAGGACGAATATCGACGCACGTTATTCGTCAGCATTCGTTCTTTATTTTCCAACACCAACGAGACCAGCAGGTCTACATTCATCTTGCCTTGCACCTTCCTCATCTTATTTCTTCCCGGCAGTGTAGACGCTACTTGGCGTATTTCTTCGCCGCTACGTATGTGTGCTCAGGAAGACAGTTTTTTGTTTGAGCGCCCCCAATTGTGTTTTACTGTAACTTCAGAAGCTCCAGACACGTGAGCAAAAGCTCCAATCTCATTGGTCGGATAGTTTTTGATGCGGCGCGTCAAACCAAAAAAACGAACCAGAGGCGTTTTTTTTTTTAATGACGCTTTTACGCGTGTTGGTGTGCACACTCACATTGGTGCCCTTTGTTTAGTCATGAGGCGTTAAACGTCGGTGTGAACAGGACTTAATGCTTGTAGTTTCTTTTGCACTTTAATGGAATCAGGATACTCCACATGAAACTTTGGTCTTCCGACCTTTTACCAATTTATTTAGATTAGTATGTACGAGGGAAAAAGCAAAACAGTTTGAAGACGGCCTTGTTTATACTTTTACCTGGCTCCGCAGAGGGAGAGTGTGTGTTCTCTCAGTTTAACATGAACATACACCCTGTCACAAGCACAGCAGTTCATCTACATTACTCAGCGATAGAATAAGACTTTGGCGTGAAAAAAAATGCTTTGGCGGTCACCACTCTTATTGCAAACAGCATAATTTTTATTGGTTAATAAGATACTAAATACTCCTTTGCTCAAATCGCTTTGATGTCATGAAACAGATGCGTAGGACGCCATGCTATGGTGCCCGATAAAGGACAAAAGGGACAGTTGTGAGCTTACAGTCGTTATTTCCTATGGCTGGGACTTCGTGCAGGAGCATCGATAAGAGGAATCGTTAACGTCGAGGGCATATAATATCGAAGGTTCATAAAACTTAGAACGGTTCTCGAGTGGAACCAGTTTTCAATTCCCATCCCTACTGGAGACTGTAAGCTGGATCACAAACAGTTGGTACTGATCTCTATCGCTCATTAAGGCTGATAAGAAACTATAGAGTCTGTTTCTCAACACATAAAATTAACCACTTACTGTGATTTCAGACTGTGATTGTTTTTCATATGAGTGAATAAAGATGATAACTGAACAAACCTTAGCATGGATCATCTTCATGTGCAGCTTCAGGGGACTTTTTAAAGCAAAACTCATTCCACACTGATCACACGTGTGCAGCTTCTCTCTGCTGTGGGTCTTCTCGTGTACTTTTAGAATTGATGTCCGATTGAATCTCTTGTCACAGTGTGAACACTTGTAAGGTTTTTCTCCAGTGTGGATCCTCTCATGTGTTTTCAGAGATGATGACTCACAGAATCTCTTGTCACAGTGTGAACACTTGTAAGGTTTTTCTCCAGTGTGAATCCTCTCGTGTGTTTTCAGAGCTGATGACTGATTGAATCTCTTGTCACAGTGTGAACACTTGTAAGGTTTTTCTCCAGTGTGAATTCTCTGGTGCATTATTAAATTGTGTGCTGTAGTAAAAGTCTTCTCACACTCAAAGCACATATAAACTCCTACACCAGTGTGAGTTCTTTGATGTAGTAGTAAACTATGCCGCAGTGAAAAACTCTTTCCACATTCAGAACATGAATGCGGCTTCTCCTCCGTATGAACCATCAGGTGTGCCTTCAGGTTTGATGCCCTACGAAATGCTTTTCCACACTGATCACATGCGAATGATTTCTCTCCAGTGTGGATCCTCATGTGAACATCAAGGTGTCCTGATTGCGCGAAACTCTTCCCACACTGATAACATGTGTGAGGTTTCTCTCCAGTGTGGATCATCATGTGTCGGCTAAGATGAGGTTGTGCTGTGAAACTCTTCCCGCACTGATCACATGTGAATGGCCTCTCTCCAGTGTGGATCATCATGTGAATCTCTAGATTATCTTTCCTTGGGAAACTTTTCCCGCACTGATCACATGAGAATGGCCTCTCTCCAGTGTGGATCCTCATGTGAATCTCTAGATTATCTTTCCTTGGGAAACTTTTCCCGCACTGATCACATGTGAACGGCTTCTGTCCAGTATGAAATATAATGTGACGCTCAAGATTACGTGTGTTTAAGAAACTCTTTCCACACTGAGTGCAGGTGAAAGATTTCTTGGCTCTTCTTCTCTTTAAAACTTTATTTTTAGTCTTTGAGCGACTCAAAGGTTTTTCTGCAGGTTGGACATGTTTCTCCTCCATTTCACTCAGTTCTTCACTCTCTTCCTTCACTTTCATCAGGTCTGAAATGAAAGAAAATGTTTTAATTTTCAGCATATCAAAATAATTTAAAGAGAGAAATATAAAGTGAAAGGACGTAAAGGTTGATTTCACATGCTATTTATAGCTCATACCTTCATGAAACATACACAGATCGTAGAAAATAGGCATTATTTACAGCAGATTCTTACGATTAAAATATAATCCATTGCAGCGGTTTTCGATAGGTGAGGTGCGACACGGCAAGAAAAAATAAAAATAAACTAGGATACAGCTCTATTGATATCGGTAATTGTGCGTTTATTAGATTCAGGGGCGGAGTGGGACCAAAAAATCTACGGGGAAATTTTGTAGACCACCGGCCCTCGTCGCCGGCACGATTTTAATAGCCGATAGCATTTACAGTTTTACTGATTTAAAAGGAACTTTGTTGTACTAGTATGCTGGAGTAAAGTTCATAAATGGTCGTTCTTTCCCATAGTAATTTCTAAAACTATGTTGGGAGGACTCTGTGCCTCTAGGGGGGTTCGGGGGCATGCTCCCCACGCAAGAAAATTTTGGACATTTTAAGGTTATAATGCATCGATCTCGTGCTTTCTGAGAAATCACAATTAAGAGCTTCAACCCATGAACTGCTCGTAGAACAAAGAAAAAACATTAATTTGTACCAGGACAATAAAAAGGGCTCAAACATCTTTTTAGTTATGAGAGTCTCAGTCTGCATTACATTATCAAAGGTGTTTTAGGATGCCAAACAATTATTATAATAATGTAATAATGATTTATAATTATTCCTATGACGTACTGTAAAATTCATTTATAGCCTATAAATGTACTATGTAAATGAAAATGAGTATTTCAAAAGTATATTTTAACCTACATTACACTATAATATAGGAAAATTAAAATAAATTTCTTCACTTGCAAGAAATAAACCCTTGAGCTTTTATTTAGGAGAAAACACCAGCAGCCTGACCATGATGATCGCGTGAGCAAAGTAATCACGCAGCACAAACTGGATGCTATTCTAATGTCAGTTATTATAATGGCGCAACGCCATATATATTCATGGTTTCAATTTTAGTTTGTTGGCAAAATATAATGCTAGAGACCTCAATGTTAGGTTTTACATTTTACATCTTTACATATCTGTGTTGGGAAAAGGGAGAAGAGAGAGTTCGGCAAAAGGCGGATTCGAACTCGCGTTCAGCGCATCAAAAAGCTGCTTTCAAGTACTTCACGACCTACGACCTACGCCACTGAAGCTGTTTAGAGATGGGTGTCGTTTTGCTGTAAAGACGAGCACTTAGTGCAAATATATGCTCCGTTATAGAAAATGTAAAAAAAATAAAATTAAAAAAAATGTTTTCTTCCCTTAGCTTGGGCCATGGCGAACTTCCAATAAATACATTTTATCAGAATGGGCCGGCCCTCGTAACACTACCGGCCCACGGGGAAAACTCCCGACTCTCCCGATTGCCACTCCGCTACTGATTAGATTAAAAAAAAAATGCAGCTTCCTTGTCCCAAGTCAACAGGAGTCAGCATTAAGGGCGGAGACAGGACCCAGCGAAAAAAAATACGAAAATATGATCCTGAGAATTTAAAGTTAGGATTCACCTGGTCGCGTCCGGGATGGCACCTGTCTGCAAGGAGTTCCTGCATGAGACCATGCAAACTTCAGCGTCACATTGAAACTAAGCACACAAATTTAGTGAACAAGCCCCTTGAGTTTTTTGAGAGGAAGTCATAGAAAACATAATATTGTCGTTTGGCACTATTAACATTGTAGCGTATCAACATTAATAATATACAATAATATGTATTTAAGGGGGCCACAATTTAGCTCAAAAGGAATTATTCATTGATTTCAAGGGAATCTTAAAAGAATCACTTATACGGCCGAGCAAATGACTCGTTTAGCGTTCATTTGAACGGGCCGTAACTATAACTTTTGCAGCGGATATAAATATCCAATCTATAGTGAAACACAATTTATTATTTGTCTTCCCCCATTTCAAGTCAAGTGCATATTCAGTCCGGTCCAGGAACACTTAACTCTCTGCACATTTACCAACGGAACCAACCAACCCTGCTACGTAGGCTGTGACGTCACTGCAATATGGCGACTCGCTAGCTACAGAGCTAGCTAAAAAAAATTACGAAAATACTTTTGTCATATCTGTGGTTTTAACTAATTTTTAAAAATAACATTTTAGGCAAAGTGAGTTCATTTAAGTTCAACGAGTCGGTGTTTCCCGAAACCATCGTTCCAACGAACATTCGCAAATAGCATCGCAAAGTTGTGTGGTTTGAACGACAGCTCTCGACCTGTGGTTAGAGGCATCGTTCCTATATTTGGAGGTAATAAATCCTTATCTTGGGCAAAATAAGCAAGCTGACATTCAGTACAACCGGTGGCTTTTATTTAGAATACATACAAATGTAATTTACGTCTTTTAGTTTGTCAAAAGATTTAAAGTAACGTGTTTGAAGAGTGCGCATGTGTGAACGTGCTCTACTATGTAAGAACGAGACAAATATTGAGCCTGGTAATGAAGCAAAATAACTGAGAACAATTAGAAATAGTCCTCAGATTACATGTTTGTAATTTATATTAAAAAATCTAGCGTTAATTGGATCTCAAACAGTTTCATTAAAAGTAGTTATTACTCCACCACGTGCGAGATGTCATAAACCAACGTGGTTGAACGATACTTTGCGACAATGGGTTTCGGGAAACAGTCGTGACTAGCTAGTTGATTTCTCCAACGATGCATCGTACTATGGTAGTGAAGCAGCGAACTGAGTCGTACGGGAAACACACCCCTGATTGGCCTTGAACCTGATGGTATTAAACAAACCAATCAAACCAACAATGGCAGCGAGTATTACCCAATCAAGGGCAGAATAGGACGAGACTTCACAGAATGCGGGTGGAAAGATTTGCATGGGATAATGCGTTTAAAACAACTCGGAAATACGGGATGATTCAAAACGGGATGCGCTGTTTAGGGCAAAGGATATACCAGTATGTATATGAGCTGTAACAAGGCTGCAAATGGTATAATAATTAGTTTGACCTGATGTTGACAATCCATATGGACATTTCACAAACTTTGCTGTATGACGAGGTCACGCTGAACGATTTAAGGCCTGAATTTCGCTCGCCGACAGGTTTCTGGAGATTGCCAACAAATGCCTGAAATATTTGAATTATTTGAATTAAATATTTGAATAATATGTGAATTATTTTAAGATAAAGCAACTTAATTTATTATTCCATGGCAATATCCAAATATGATACTAAATCCCACAAAAAAGGGCTTTAATTTGCGACATGCTATCTTTGCATTTGAACATTGTAGGCCTACATTTTAAACAGAACATGCATTTGCTGAATAAACATTAGCCAATACATATAGAAAACAGTTGACAATGAATAGACAGGAGTCCTTTCACAGGACCGATAATAGCAAAACGAATCACTTATTCTAAAAACTTAAGACAAATTTCAAACTACGTCCATTTTCTTTAGAAATTCAAAAACATGAATAACGTTTTGGCGCTGTGGCGTGAGATCGCTCTGGCGCAGCTCAAGAGAAGCAGCAGCGCTGATCTCTCTTCCGGGTTAATAATAGCAGTTACAGCGCAAAATAAATTTAAAATAAAATAAAATAAAATTATCGAAATCCGTATCATGTCACATTGATTCGCTCAATCAGCGTTTCAACCGTGGAAAGACGTCAGTTAAACAGCTTGTAATCAATGTCATGTATCGTCATATTTACCTCAGAAAACCATACACCATATTACATATGGAAAACCATACACCATATTACATAAAACCATACACCATATTACGTTATAATCTTAATGTTCTTCAATATTTAATGCATATTTGAATAAATCTGGAAAGTTTTTATGACAGCCACCATTTAAATGTTTATATTTCGTTTAATCTTCTTATTATAATAATAAGATTATAATAATAATTATTATAATTACATACTTCTTATGTAATTTAAGTCTTTGTATAGCTACAAAACAGTTAATTATTACCTTCATATTAGGCTAATGAAGCCTAGTAGGCTACAACTAGACTCCCATAGTTTACAGCATTAGTTAAGAGATTTGATTTCCTTGAGAAAATGCCCAGAGGCGTCACCAGGTTTTTGCGTAGGTTAAAGTGACAAATCGTACCAGTGTATTTTGATGTTACAGTGGGAGGAGCTTCACTGAAGATGAATTACAGTGTGTGAGGAGCTGATCTAGCAAAATCAAAAAGATAGCCTATATTAGTTACTGAGTTTGTTTTTATGCTCATGGACAACAGAATATAAATAGTAAATATAAAAAAAACTTGGATGTCTTTTTTCCAGTAATAAACAAACACTTTTAAGTTGTTTTGATTGATACTGTGAAGCAGCTTTGATACAATCTGTATTGTGAAAAGCGCTTTATAAATATATTTGACTTGACTTAGTGTAATAATAAATGTATAGTCTAGACAATGGTAAGAAAAACAGCTATAGCTAACCCTTCCTTATATATTTAAGCAAAAACATAAGTAGCCTAAATCTACAGATTTGTCACCAACAAATCTCCTGGGTCTGCTGACACCAATGAAATGAGCTTTAAGTGTCAATTTACAGGAGATCTGAAGACATCAACATAATAAATAAAGTGTCATGAAATAAAGAGTGTTTTCAGCAGATCTGTTAATATTGATGATAATATATTATCAATATTATAAGGATAATATTGATAATCCTCAGACTATCAACACTCATTCAACAAGCCATTCAGGATCATCAGCAGATCACCTCACTTTATACTGAGTGTTTGCTGTTTGAAACACATTATCTGAGTCAATATGACAAATAATGACTCATATGACTATGACACTATTGAATTATTACTGAAAAACAGCTGTATTAGAAGACAGTACTGTTATTTTTTCTCACAATATTACATAAGTATCAGTTAAAAATTGTAATAACTACATCATTGCAATAGATAACGTGTTGCAGTTTTGCAGAAATGATCACAACACCTTAATGAAAATAAAGAGTAACTCAGCTACCACAAAACAATATTGTGTAGATATCAAACTGTATCCAATGGTTATCTAGCCTAGTATATTATTTATGTTTAAAATGTCTTGCGTGGCTCCCTATTGGCTCAATGTATTATTTACAACCCAGATAGCACAAGGCTGTTTGATCTCCTATTTATATCTGGAAGACGTATTTTAAAGAGTGTTTGCTCATCTGCAAGACGTCTATAGGACATTTCCTGCATTTGTCAAATAGACGTTTAGAAGATGTCTCTAAGATGTAATGATTTAGAATGCATGTTAAACTGACATCTTATAAACGTCTATTTAACATCTGACAGGAAACGTTCTATAGACGTCTTGCAGATGAGCAAACACGCTTAAAAATATGTCTTCCAGATGTAAATAGGACATCAAATACCCTTGTGCTATCTGGGAAAGTTTTTAAATCACGATCTGTTCCAACACGTTCGCTAAAGTTGTGAGAATAAACGGCAGCAGCGACACATAAGATCGTTTCCCCTCACAGATCTCAAACTTTAACTTGACAGTAACAGTTCTCACTCCAAACATCGAGACAATCACACAAATAATTTTTATTTTATCTTCTGTGATGGTGAAAAAGCCACATCACGTCAACTACCCATGTGTAATCTGCCAAAGATAAATAAGCTAGACAAAGAAATAAAGGTAAACATGAAAATGGCAACAGCAACACTTCCAAATCAATTCCCCTCACAGATCTCAAACTTTGCCTTGACATTCAGTTACAGTTCTCACTCCAAACATCGAGACAATCACTCAAACGAACACACACTCGCTCAGGTCTGAATGAACTCCACATATTCTCCTCAGACTCGCTGCTGCTGCACTAAATGTGTATTTCAGGAGGAAGACGCCAGAAAAGACCCACAAGTATCGCTGTGATCGATGAAAACAATACAGAAATGAGTCTGTCGCTTAATCTAACTGTATAAAGTGTGTGTGATGGGTGTGTAAAGATGAAAGAAATACCGTGAACTGCTCTCCTCACCTCAGTAGACTCGACGCTTAAAACTCAATGAGGGAAGAGACGGCGCGAACGGTGACGTCATCGGCATCCGAAGCACGAGCGCACATTCCGCGCGCACGGGACAAATCTTCTTCTTCGTTTGGTGTTTTATGGCGGTTGGCAAACCAACTTTCGGTGCATTACCGCCACCAACTGGACTGGAGTGTGAAGCACTTAAAAATGAAAACAATATCAACAAAAAAACAAACAAACAAACAAAAACATCTTCTATACTTCAAATTCTCCTGTCTATTCCTATTTCTTTGAGATAGGCCTACTTCATTATCGCACTATATATTTTTACTTGTTCTACTTGCTTTCCCAATAAACTTTCCATACTTAATACTCCCACACCCAATTTCCTTATCCTCTTAAGTTCTAACCTTTCTTTTCCATATTTTTCACATTTAATTAAAACATGTTCAATTGTTTCTGCCTGACCACAGTACATACATTTTCCCGTATCATGTTTTCCTATCTTTAACAAGGAATGATTTAATCGTGTGTGCCCTATTCTAACACGAGACAAAATTGTATCCCCTTTCCTATTCCTAAAAACACTTCTTCCATTTCCTACTTGCTTCTGAATACTATACAAGTTTCTACCCTTCCCCTCACTATCCCATTGTTCTTGCCATTTCTTTTTTATGAATTCTTTTATTTTACTTTTACTTCATTTTTGCTCAATGTCACTTGCACATTAATTTCATTATGTTTTACTGCTTGTTTTGCTATTCTATCTACCACTTCATTTGCCTCCAGCCCCACATGAGCAGGAACCCATACAAACACTATTAAGCTTTCACTACTTATTCTTAGCAAACTAGCAAGTCTCTCATATATAATGTCTTGCCTTAATACTTTATTTCAACTTACGAGACTTGTGATTGCTGCAAACGAATCAGAACATAGCTACGTCCTCTACCCAATGGAGTGCAACCATTATGGCAACTAATGCTACTACAAATACGGAGATATGGTCAGTTATTCTTTTCTTGATACTTATTTGAAACTTAGGAATATACAGCAGCTGCTGTTCTTCCAGATATAGGATCCTTAGACTCATCAGTAAATATTTTCACCCATGATAAATACTTCTGATCTAAGTACTGTCTTTCATATTTTTGCACAGGACAAATCTTCTTCTGTCGAAGTTTTATGGCGGTTGGCAAAGCAGCTAAAATGCCCATTTACCGCCACCAACTGGACAGGAGTGTAAAGCGAGTGAAGCAGATTTAAAAAAAATAAAAAAAAATCTATTAAACTACATTCTGTTAGCCAATCCTGTTTCCCTTAGATACTCTCTCTATTTTCTTTCTTTTTAAATCCTGCCTGGACGCTGACTTTGAATTTATACTCATTAAAGCTGAATAGGAGTCTGAGCAAATCTCTATATTCAACGTTTTCCATTCATTGAACTGCCATTAAAATCCCAAGTTAGGTCTACATCTGTTCAAATAAATTAATCCTCTGGGATCTAAGGTGTTTTTGGGGTCCTTGAGATGTTTTGACATGTCCTGACATTTGTGCTTTTTTCAGTTGCTTATAAAAGCTATCTTTCATGGAAAATTAAATCCAAACTCGAAAAATATTCTAAAATGGTAATTAATTAATTGTATATACAAAATTATAATAACTTCATTTAAAATGCATGAAGAGTCCTGAACATGGTAGCTATAATTTGATGCAACTGTTATTGGTCGATTCTGAAAAATATGGTATCTGTTCATCCCTATTTGATACTGGATATCAAGTGTGAAACTGTTAATAATGTAGACAGACAGCAATCTCAGTCAAGATCAGTCATGTGTGGGTAGAATATAATGTATACGGCATTGGAAAGCTTCCTGGCTTTCAGAACTAAATTATTCCTGATTCAAACAGAAAATAAAGATGGACAAAAACAACAAGGTGTTGATATGGAGTAATGAGTTTAATCAATCTCTACATGAAGCAAATACAAACATCAACTAAAAGTGAATGAGACAGATCTCTTTCTTTACCGACTTATAAGAGCCAAAGCATCTCAAGAGAAGAGAAGTGTCCAGATTCGAGGTAACACAATAAGGTTCATTAGTTAAAGGACAACTCCGGCGCAAAATGAACCTTTGGTCTAATTACACATTGCTACCTAGTCAACCGTTATCTGAGATTTGTTTTCATGATTGCCGAATGTAAATAGTTTTATCTCTAAAAACAGTTTAGCCTATAACTCTAGTATAATGCTAGTATATGGGGCATAGAGTAATGACAAATAAAAATCGCTTGTTATTACCACTAACAAGGCTCAAAATATCCCCACACCAACACGACAGCATAACAGGGGTCCCTACATTCAAACCGAAGCATTGAGAACGCTGTTAGTGTCCATACAGTTTAATAAGAAGATATTTTATACACACAGTCAACTTCGCGAATACAGGAAGAAGCCATCTTGGAAAAATAGTCTCTACCAGTCGATCTACGAACGCCGATCCATGTGCGCTGAACTGTGCAGAATCTCATATGGTCCGTTGTTTCCACAAGAAACACAAACACAAACCGTTTTCTTCTCTTCAATATGTACACGTAGCCTACTGTTCGCGCTCACTTTATCACCTTATTCACATCTCACCAGCGCACTTGGATCGGCGTTCGTAGATCGACTGGTAGAGACTATTTTTCCAAGATGGCTTCTTCCTGTATTCGCGAAGTTGACTGTGTGTATAAAATATCTTCTTATTAAACTGTATGGACACTGACAAAGTTCTCAATGCTTCGGTTTGCATGTAGGGACTCTTTTTATGCTGTCGTGTTACTGTGGGGCTATTTTGAGCCTTGTTAGTGGTAATAACAAGCGATTTTTATTTGTCATTACTCTATGCCCCATATACTAGCGTTATACTAGTGTTATAGGCTAAACTGTTTTTAGAGATAAAACTATTTACATTCGGCAATCATGAAAACAAATCTCAGATAACGGTTGACTAGGTAACAATGTGTAATTAGACCAAAGGTTCATTTTGCGCCGGAGTTGTCCTTTAACATGAACTAAGAATGAGCAATACTTCTAAAGCATTTATTAATCTAAGTTAATATCAATTAATACATTATTAAAATCTAAAGTTGTATTTGTTAACAATAGTTAATGCTGTGAACCAAAATGAACAATGACTTATAAAGTAACAAATGCATAGCTCATTGTTAGTTAATATATTAACTAATGTTAACTAATGAGTGTTAATAATTTGCATGGAAGAGTAGAAGTAGAATAGAAAATAAGATGTTCTAATGAAAATCAAACAACGAAGAATGAGTAAATAATGAATATAAGATTCATGTCTCTCTTAAAAGTGGTATGGCCTCTTTTCGAGTGTGTGTTTCAGTTCATCTTCTGTAGAAAAGGACTTCCTGCACTGAAACACACACCGTCGTGTCTTTTACCTGTAATATAATGAATGAATCTTCACCTTTGTGTGAATCTTCAGGTGTTTCTGATGCCCAATGAAAGGGTTTACCGCACTGATCACAGTTAAATGCTCTTTCTCCAGAATGAGAAGCAGAAGTGATTTCTGAGCCGCTTCTTCCCAGTGTGAACTCTCATGTGAGTCTTCAGACTTGATTTACACTGAGGGCAGGAGACGGATGTTTGGCTTCTGTTTTCCTTTCTCGTTCACATCCATCAAGTCTAAAAGAAAAATTAAATCAAGTGAGATTTCAAATGAGAGACAAATGTGGAATCAAAAGTGAAGCCAAAAGTCAAGATCTGGTGAGTTCAATTGTCATTTTAATCCCATCAAATCTGGTCATCAACTGCTGAGCACGATTATGATTATTTTAATGTGGAGATGATTTGTGTTATAGATCACTAGTTTGATCATGAAACTCTAGATGAAGCAAGCCAAACATGTGATCTGTCATCAATGACAGTTTAGGGCGGTAATAGGTAATTTTAGTAATAGGGCGGAGCATAACTCTCAGTAGCGGAGTTATAACTTATTTGTCTTCTGTTTTTATCCTCTATTAATGCAAGCCTGTTGTAGAGAACCCAGTCTGAATGTTGGGCATAAATATACTAATGAGTTTGATGAAGTTTATTGTACATCCCACAAAAGATAAAGAATCAGTTTTACTCCAGAAAATAACGGCAAAAGGTGAATAAAAGAAGTGTGCATTAAAGTCTGATCCATAAACCCTATCACGCACATGTATTATCATCAAAATACACAAAACAATCATTACAACTGAAAGTAAACAAATATATGTAAGGCCTGCACGAATATGACGAAAATCATAATTGTCATTATTAAGTACGATGAACACAATTTACATTGAACATACACTTAATTAAAGGATTATTAGGAACACCTGTTCAATTTCTCATTATTGCTCAATTATCTAATCAACCAATCACATGGCAGTTGCCTCAATGCATTAAGGGGTGTGGTCCTGGTCAAGACAATCTCCTGAACTCCAAACTGAATGTCAGAATGGGAAAGAAAGGTGATTTAAGCAATTTTGAGTGTGGCATGGTTGTTGGTGTCTGAGTATTTCACAATCTGCTCAGTTACTGGGATTTTCACGCACAACCATTTCTAGGGTTTACAAAGAATGGTGTGAAAAGGGAAAAACATCCAGTATGGGGCAGTCCTGTGGGCGAAAATGCCTTGTTGATGCTAGAGGTCAGAGGAGAATGGGCCGACTGATTCAAGCTGATAGAAGAGCAACTTTGACTGAAATAACCACTCGTTACAACCGAGGTATTCAGCAAAGCATTTGTGAAGAAGACACAACACACACAACCTTGAGGCGGATGGGCTACAACAGCAGAAGACCCCACCGGGTACCACTCATCTCCACTACAAATAGGAAAAAGAGGCGACAATTCGCAAGAGCTCACCAAAATTGGACAGTTGAAGACTGGAAAAATGTTGCCTGGTCTGATGAGTCTCGATTCAGATGGTAGAGTCAGAATTTGGCGTAAACAGAATGAGAGCATGGATCATCATGCCTTGTTACCACTGTGCAGGCTGCTGGTGGTGGTGTAATGGTGTGGGGGATGTTTTCTTGGCACACTTTGCTCCTTAGTGCCAATTGGGCATCGATTAAAGGCCACGGCCTACCTGAGCATTGTTTCTGACTATGTCCATCCCTTTATGGCCACCATGTACCCAGCAGGAAAATGCACCATGTCACAAAGCTCGACTCATTTCAAATTGGTTTCTTGAACATGTCAATGAGTTGACTGTACTAAAATGGCCGCCACAGTCACCAGATATCAATAGAGCATCTTTGGGATGTGGTGGAACGGGAGCTTCGTGCCCTGGATGTGCATCCCACAAATCTCCATCAACTGCAAGATGCTATCCTATCAATATGGGCCGACATTTATAAAGAATGCTTTCAGCACCTTGTTGAATCAATGCCACATAGAATTCAGGCAGTCTTGAAGGTGATAGGGGACAAACACAGAATTAGTATGGAGTTCGTAATAATCCTTTAGGTGAGTGTGTATATATATTAGGGGTGTAACGATACATGTATTCGTATTGAACTTTCGTGTATGTGTGAGGGATAGGCTGTACTCGATAATGTCAAATTGCACATTGTTAAAACAACAATTACGATATTATCGCAGACGATATATATCACACACCCATGAGGGGTCGTACACACTAGGACGAATATCGACGCACGTTATTCGTCAGCATTCGTTCTTTATTTTCCAACACCAACGTGACCAGCAGGTAGGGCTGGGCGATATATCGAATATGTATGATGTATCGTTATATTTTTTGAAACGATATGGAATGAGGCAATACCGTTTATATCGATACAGTAGTTTGATATGAGCACATCTGAAAAATAGCGGAGGTTGCAGTGTGAGCTGCTGCAGTGAAAGTAGCTAGGCTACGTAGTACAATTTGTCCTAAACATGACACAAGCTTATATTAATTGCGTCAAAATCACTTTGATATAGTTAACAAGTTTAAGGCAGCTTGCCGCCCTGTCAAATGCTCTGACAGACACTGTTGCTGACTGACAGATATACTTGCGCTGTTTAATGCGTTTGAGATGTGGTGCTTTCCTCAGTGCTCAACTTACATTTCACATATTCTCCATCTGTAAATGTTAGAAAGTAAAGCAAATATGTCCATTTCACAACAAATATGTCCATGTCAGAAGAGGACGAGCTTCTGCAAGTGAATCTCCGCTAAAATTCATGCTTCCTTGAACGAGCGCCGGCGCGCGCATGCGCGTGAATAGTACTACGTAGTACGCAATAATTCTGACTAAAATAAACATATTGCTAAAATATGTGTTGTTGGAGAAAATAAATGTGCCATATGTGGAATTTTAAACCTACAAGTATATATTTTTAATGAAAGTGAAAGTGATTATAATGGGGTAATCAAATGCAGGCTAATATAATTAGTTTGTGCTTTTGTTTTTGTTTTTATTTTAGCTTTTAGTCAATATAAAAACAAAAGCTTTTTGCACATAATATATTGCATAGCCTATATTATATTTGTTTCCATATCCTTCAATATCAACATTGTTTGTAGGATATCATTGGGCCGAATGTGAATATACTGTGTATATATATATATATATATATATATATATATTTTTTTTTTTAATATAAAGATTTTCTTTATCTAAATAGAAAACGTAGAAAGTACCGAGATATATATCGTATATCGCCATTTGACCAAAAAATATCGAGATATGATTTTTTGGCCATATCGCCCAGCCCTACCAGCAGGTCTACATTCATCTTGCCTTGCACCTTCCTCGTTTTATTTCTTCCCGGCAGTGTAGACGCTACTTGGCGTATTTCTTCGCCGCTACGTATGTGTGCTCAGGAAGACAGTTTTATGTTTGAGCGGCGCCCCCAATTGTGTTTTACTGTAACTTCAGAAGCTCCAGACACGTGAGCAAAAGCTCCAATCTCATTGGTCGGATAGTTTTTGATGCGGCGCGTCAAACCAAAAAAACGAACCAGAGGCGTTTTTTTTTTTAATGACGCTTTTACGCGTGTTGGTGTGCACACTCACATTGGTGCCCTTTGTTTAGTCATGAGGCGTTAAACGTCGGTGTGAACAGGACTTAATGCTTGTAGTTTCTTTTGCACTTTAATGGAATCAAAATGCTCCACATGAAACTTTGGTCTTCAGACTTTTTACCAATTTATTTTGATTAGTATGTACGAGGGAAAAAGCAAAACAGTTTGAAGACGGCCTTGTTTGTACTTTTGCCTGGCTCCGCAGAGGGAGAGTGTGTGTTCTCTCAGTTTAACATGAACATACACCCTGTCACAATTACAGCAGTTCATCTACATTACTCAGCGATCAAATAAGACTTTGGCGTGAAAAAAAATGCTTTGGCGGTCACCACTCTTATTGCAAACAGCATCATTTTTATTGGTTAATAAGATACTAAATACTCCTTTGCTCAAATCGCTTTGATGTCATGAAACAGATGCGTAGGACGCCATGCTATGGTGCCCGATAAAGGACAAAAGGGACAGTTGTGAGCTCACAGTCTGTATATCCTATGGCTGGGACTTGGTGCAGGAGCATCGATAAGAGGAATCGTTAACGTCGAGGGCATATAATATCGAAGGTTCATAAAACTTAGAACAGTTCTCGAGTGGAACCAGTTTTCAATTCCCATCCCTACTGGAGACTGTAAGCTGGATCACAAACAGTTGGTACTGATCTCTATCGCTCATTATGGCTGATAAGAAACTATCGAACTATTTCTCAACACATAAAATTAACCACTCACTGTGATTTCAGACTGTGATTGTTTTTCATATGAGTGAATAAAGATGATAACTGAACAAACCTTAGCATGGATCATCTTCATGTGCAGCTTCAGGGGACTTTTTAAAGCAAAACTCATTCCACACTGATCACATGTGTGCAGCTTCTCTCTGCTGTGGGTCTTCTCATGCGCTTTCAGATATGATGGCCGATTGAATCTCTTGTCACAGTTTGAACACTTGTAAGGTTTTTCTCCAGTGTGGATCGTCTCATGTGTTTTCAGAGTTGATGACTGACTGAATCTCTTGTCACAGTGTGAACACTCGTAAGGTTTTTCTCCAGTGTGAATTATCTGGTGCAGTTTTAAACATTGTTCTGTAGTAAAAGTCTTCTCACACTCAAAGCACATATAAACTCCTACACCAGTATGAGTTCTTTGATGTAGTTGTAAATTATGCCGCAGTGAAAATCTCTTTCCACATTCAGAACATGAATGCGGCTTCTCCTCCGTATGAACCATCAGGTGTGCCTTCAGGTTTGATGCCCTACGAAATGCTTTTCCACACTGATCACATGCGAATGATTTCTCTCCAGTGTGGATCCTCATGTGAACATCAAGGTGTCCTGATTGCGCGAAACTCTTCCCACACTGATAACATGTGTGAGGCTTTTCTCCAGTGTGGATCATCATGTGTCGACTAAGATTTCCTTTTAGTGTGAAACTCTTCCCGCACTGATCACATGTGTGAGGCTTCTCTCCAGTATGAACTCTCACGTGCTGCTGAAGACTACCTTTGTCTCTAGTGTGGATCCTCATGTGAATCTCTAGATTATCTTTCCTTGGGAAACTTTTCTCGCACTGATCACATGTGAACGGCTTCTGTCCAGTATGAACTATCATGTGACGGTCAAGATTACGTGTGTTTAAGAAACTCTTTCCACACTGAGTGCAGGTTGTACATTTCTTGGCTCTTCTTCTCTTTAAAACTTTATTTTTAGTCTTTGAGCGACTCAAAGGTTTTTCTGCAGGTTGGACATGATGTTTCTCCTCCATTTCACTCAGTTCTTCTCTCTCCTCCTTTACTTCACTCAGTTCTTCACTCTCTTCCTTCACTTTCATCAGGTCTGAAATGAAAGAAAATGTTTTAATTTTCAGCATATCAAAATAATTTAAAGAGAGACATATAAAGTGAAAGGACGTAAAGGTTGATTGGAAGCACGACCTGGTCATCAGGTTCCTGAGGGGAGCGAGGAGGCTGCATCCGCCTCGTCCTCCCCTCCTACCCTCTTGGGACCTCTCTGTAGTTTTAAGTGCACTGCAGAGGCATCCCTTTGAGCCTTTGCAATCGGTAGAGTTAAAGTTTCTGTCCATGAAGACAGCACTCCTGGTTGCATTGGCCTCCATCAAGAGGGTGGGGGACCTGCACGCATTCTCCGTTGACAAAGCGTGCCTGGAGTTCGGGCCGGCTTACTCTCACGTGATCCTGAGACCCCGGCCTGGATATGTGCCCAAGGTTCCCACCACTCCCTTCCGGGACCAGGTGGTGAACCTGCAAGCGCTGCCCCCGGAGGAGGCAGACCCAGCCTTGGCACTGCTCTGTCCGGTACGTGCTCTCCGCACCTATGTCGACAGAACGCAGTGTTTCAGGACCTCAGACCAGCTCTTTGTCTGTCATGGGGGGAGCCAGAAGGGAAGGGCTCTCTCAAAGCAACGGCTGTCCCACTGGATAGTGGATGCCATTGCTTTGTCTTACCAGCAGCTAGGCCTTCCGTGCCCCCTTGGTGTGACGGCCCATTCCACTCGGAGTGTAGCTTCCTCTTGGGCTCTAGCGCACGGCGCCTCGCTAACAGACATCTGCAGAGCTGCAGGCTGGGCGACACCCAACACCTTCGCCAGATTCTATAATCTGCGAATTGAGCCGGTATCCTCTCACGTACTCGCTTCCGCCAGTACTGGACCCACTTAGGTGTCTTCGCTTGCTCGCCACTCCATTCCCCGGACTGGATAAGTGCGATATTTCCTCAGTTCTTCCATTGAAGTTTTGAGTCCTCCAGCACCGACGATGCGGGCACCACTGCTGTTGCTCTGGATGCTGGCTAGGTGCCTCCATGCGCACGGTTCCCCATGGTAACCGTCTCATGTGTATTATCTACTGTAAGCCTCTCTGAGCATGTGTCTTCCCTTGGCAAGCCATCTGCCACCCCTGGAGTTGAAATTAGTAGCCACCTGCGGTTGGTGCTCCAGTGATTCCATATGTGTTCCTATGTGGCCATATGTGTATTCGTAAGTCCTCCCTTCGGTAGGCAGCTGGTAGCATGTCCCCTCCGGGATATGTTTCCCAGTGTACCTTGGTAATCCTGTGTCGAAGTCGGATCCCCAAAAAAAAAAAAAAAGAGGTAAGGCTCGGGGGTCCAGACTTTCGCAGGGCACTGGAAGACAGCTTGAAGTTGGCGTGATGGCACAGACCCCCAATCTCCGTCACTTCTGACGTAACTCGAAGTGACTACGAAAGGGAACGTCTCGGTTACGTATGTAACCCTCGTTCCCTGAGTAGGGAACGGAGACGTTACGTCTCACTGCCACTTCTGCTGTATCGCTGGGTAGATGCCGAGTTCAGTCTTGGCTCCTCAGCGAAGACATACTGCGGTTGCGTTCACTTCCTCCTTTTATACTCACGGAGTAGGGCGGAGTACGCTATGCAAATTTCCGCAGCCCCAAGGCATTGCATGCCATTGGCTCGTGTTTAAATACTCGAAGAGGATTGGCTTTCTATGCGAAATCCCCCAATCTCCGTCACTTCTGACGTAACGTCTCCGTTCCCTACTCAGGGAACGAGGGTTACATACGTAACCGAGACGATTTGTCACCAACAAATCCCCTCAGTCTGCTGACGCCAATGAAATGAGCTTTAAAGGGCACCTATTATGCCCCCTTTTACAAGATGTAGTATTGGTCTTGGGTGTCCCCAGAATGTATTTGTGAAGTTTCAGCACAAAATACCCCACCGTTTATTTATTATAACCATTTGAATGTCATTTTTGGGACCTGTTTTGAAACGAGCTGTTTTGAGGCGGACGACCTTAAATGCAAATTAGTTGCATATCCCCACCCTGCTGCTGGATGTGGGCGTAACTTGCATACCAATGGCAATAAACAGTCGGTAGAACGGTAATGGCCGAGAGTGATAGACCCGCAATTGTGTATGGCATTCGGCCATACATGTTTGAACCAGAGTCCGACCCAAATGACGAAGAGACTCCGGTTGAAGAAACACGATCGAGAATGGACCAGGACGTCTCGGAATGGTTATTTGATACATTTATGTACCCATCATCGCGTCCTCTTAGTTATAATGGATGTGCAACACCCACACAGACACACACACACAAACTGTGAAAACGTTCACGCAATTTTTTTTAGAATACAAACATAAATAACGCTAATATCGTTTTCTACCTACAAACAAAATTAAATTAATGCGAGAGACCTGTTTACACTTCTCGTACAGGTGTTTATGTAGCAAATGTGAGAAGATGGCGACAGAACAAGAAAACATATGCTGCAGAGAGATAGAAAAGGTATTAATGTATTTACAATTTTAATTGTTGCAAAAAATAACACGTGACATAAAATAGTCTAAGGCTATTTGTTGTATCGAAGGTTACAAGACGGATGAAACAACTTCAAGTCACATCATCATGTATGGTAGACCATCCCGGAATGGATCCTGTTTGTTTCAATGTGTTTACTTTACAAAACGCTTTTAACATTTACAGGGCTGACTATGGTCCCATACGACTTCGTGGAATACAAGTGAGTTAAACTGATTAACACATTTAATAAAAATGTATCTAATTCTTCAAAGAAGTTCAAATCGTTTAGTTTTTAATCAAATATTTAAAAGGTTATATTAAAAGGGAATTATAATTATAAAAATATATATATATATATATGAAGAGCTCAGATGCAAAAGCCTCTAAATGCCATTTGAAATTTTCTTCTTTAATGATGATTTTTATCAAGCTTGTATATTTAAGTTCAGTGATTTCACTTAAATGGCAATGATAATTACCTATTAATTGTTATTTAAGTGAAATTACTAAACTTAAATATACAAGTTTGATAAAAATCATCATTAAAGAAGAAAATTTCAAATGGCATTTAGAGGCTTTTGCATCTGAACTATTCATATATAATATAAATAAGAATATATAATTATAATTATAAAAACATAGTATAGCTTCAAATAATTTCACAACAAATTGCATATACTTTTTTATTCCTTTATTTACATTATGTATAAAGACAGTGACATATACAAATTAGATTAAAAATAAAATAATTTTAATAAAAGGACATTAATCTTAAAAATAACTTGGCCATAAATCAATTACAAATCAAGAATTACAACTCCAGACAACAAATGAAAGATATATATGAAAAGAAAAAAAACACAGGAAAATTCCTGAACCTTATTTTGAGAATGTGCCTGTGTGTGTGTATATGTTTGTGTTTGTCTTAGACGTTACAGATTTTTAGCTTATCAGAGTTTTGTGAGTTGGTGCTGGGGTTTCCTTGGACGAAAAATTCGAGTTGTGATTCCAGCCTGTGTGGTCCTGAGGATTCGAAGAGAGTTTCCTGATGCACAGGGCAGTTATGTAGGTTTTCGACCACCTATTGATTGAACCTAGATAGCCTACTAGAGATGGCCTCCTCCTTCTCTGGCCGGTCATACTCTGCACACAATACTGGTGGTATTGGAATCCTCAAAACCTCATCCAAAAATGGTGCAGGATCAACGAAGACCTTATCAAATATGAGGTCCAGCAGGTCATCCACATATCCTGTGCAACATAACATTTTATTTACTTTTCAATTGATTTTTGAAATACCTTGTAAGAAAAAATGCCAAAAAAAACACATTTGTTTTAATTTTGTTAACTAAACTCATTTTATACATACTGAAGGTTGCTTGTGTCTTTACTTCTCTGACCCGGTATTCTCCCTTCTTGGCTTTTGGAAAGGTCACTTTGAACACCGGTAGACCAGATGCTGTTGTGGCTTGAGGACACCCGGCATTCTCATTGTAATGTAGTGCAGCCAGGTATAGTCTGAAAGCATGTATAATTGTATGTATAATTGAAATTGTAATAATAAAAAAAAAAAACATCAACATTACCTGCACAACATTCCCAGAAATGGAAATACCACATTTTTGGGTGTAAACCGTAGTATTACACTGTGGAAAACCTCGATTGAAGAAGTCTGGTAGTGTGGACTTAGTTTGGCAACATCCTTCAAAATTCTGTTGTTGGAGAGAACTCTCTCCAACTTGAGATATGGCAGTGTTCCTAAATTATTGTAAGTGTTATTATAGTAAGATATGTATTTAAAAAAAAAAAAAAAAAATAGAATAAATACATGGTCTTCATACAGTTTTTAATAAAAGTAAATATTGCTTATTTAGACCACATACCAGCAGCTATCCACTTTTTTGTGCCTCGACTTCTGCTTGTTCCATGTAGACATGCTGGAAAATTGCTGTCTTCATGTGTGTGCTTGTTTTGAATATGGTTTAGCATAGACGTCCATTTGGCCACTCTTTCAGGTCCACTGCTTGATGATGCTGCAGTCCAATAGATGTGGTTTTTTATACTATGCAACCATTCACGTACTTTCTCACAACCCTTCAACTTGCACACTTTTTCCAGCTGCTTTGAAATTCCTGGAGTTTTCAAAAACATTCAAACAAAACAACACTCACAATAAGTAGGGCAATGTGTAATTAAATAAAATGGAATGGTGTTGTTTATATAATATGAATGCACACACACACACACACACACACACACACACACACACACACATATATTTATATATATATATATATATATAAATGTTCCACAAAAAATAATCATCCGCTAATATATTTTCATCACAATTATTAGTCTGTAAAAAATTTGAAAATGATAGTATTGTAATAATTTTTTTTTTACCTTTCTCTATGTGCCAGACATCATAGAATTGGTTGACTTTGCGTTCCCTGAGAAATTTTTGTATTTGCGGATGTCGGTCAGTCACAATGCAGTCCAGAGTCACACCACGAGTATCCAAAAAGTCAAGACCTCTCGTCAATCCTTCCTTTTCCATGTGGTAACTTCCTCCCACTTCCTTACTCTAACAAGTGTTCAAAAATTCCTTTTTTTTCCGTTTAAAATTAAAGTATAAAAGTTTTCAAAGATGTTGCATCAAGGGTTTTTTAGCTAATTTACCTGGACGAGCTGTACGTCAACAACGGTGTTTGTTTCCAGGTCCATCATTGTGTAACTGCCATATTTGGCCGAGTGCCCTTCAAAAACAAAAATACATAATCTCTTATTACACAATGTGCCTTGTCTACACAAGACATTTTATTACTACAATGTAAATTTTTCCCACAATGTACCTGGTGAGTCAGCCCTCATATCTCCTCCAACAATGACCTTTTCCCTTTGAGCTAACTGCTGTAGCATCTCATCCTGCCAGTTTCTCCATTTGTGAACAATAGCAGGCTCAATGCACATTCGTGCATGGCGACGAAAGGTGTCGTACTTGAAAAGATGTAACTTCATAGCTGCAAATATCTGACAACAGATAGAGAAAAACTGGTAAACTATAAAATAATAAACATTAGGGGTGTAACGGTACACAAAAATCACGGTTCGGTACGTACCTCGGTTTTAAAGTCACGGTTCGGTACGTTTTCGATACAGCAAAAAGAAAGAAATGCCAGAGAAATTTCCTATTTGTTTAAAGAAAAAATATTTTTAAATAAGTATGAGTTTTCCTAGATCTTGAAACTTTCAGGTTTATAAATGGGGGTCATCTTTGAAGGATGAACAAATAATGTTTGGTCATCACATTAAAAATAACATTTAAATATATATTTATTTATATAATATTTGAATTTTGAAGTGCTGGAAAAAGATGTGTGAAGTACTTGAAAGCATTTCACCATTCCAGCCAAACTGGTTCCAGTTAGTGTTACTATATTAAATCCATGGTGAATGTTGCTGGTCTGTGGACGTAAAGTACTAGTTCATTCACGGCACAGTGTTTCTCCTGGTTTCCATGACAGCGCTGTTTGATCTAATAGAGATCTACGGTTAATAACGGAGAAATGTGAATGCATCTCACTAGATCTCGCAGCGATGTTATTACCTCAGTGGCGAATTCAAATGTTTTCTTTACCGGATCTCTTAGCGCTGTGTGGTAACAGTGTTGATTGATCGAGATCGGCTCGCGCTGCACAGATGTTGCTGGTCCGAACTGATAAACGATCCATGAAGCACATAACGAGGAGCGCAGTTTCGTTCTGCTTTCATTACCCTTGCCATTTGGATGTTGCGCAACGTTGTGTTGGCCGCGTCAGCACGAATTTTGCCGGCAGGAAAAATGGTCCAAGCAATCGTTCGGTTTGAATGCGTACCGAACCGGAAGCCTCGAACCGAAACGGTTCAATACGAATACATGTACCGTTACACCCCTAGTAAACATAATAATTATACATTGTAAATGTTTAGTCTCATGTACCTGCAAAGCTATTCATAATTTATGTTACTATTACCTTTTCAATTGTCACAAATGAAGCACCACTGAGATACACAGCAGCAGAAAGGTGAAGGTTTCCAGCTGGAGTACTGCCCAAAATCGGCTGACTGCTCCATTTACGTGTGAACTGACAATGGTGGCAGAGTTGTTCAACACGTAGAAAAGTTCCAATCCTTTGTGATCTTGTATGACAGCTTCTATGACATACCGGGCACATCTCAAACAGTTCCATGATACATGTCTCATAGACAATATATTTACAGATTTTCTGAATAGGGCTGGATGCTAGTGACCTGAAGAAAAAAACAATCAAACGAACAAACAAAACAAACAAAAATAAAATAATCAATATAAACACTACATAAAAATTAGTTATGTTATAATTAAAAGCAAACATTTTTCTAAAATATAATATAAACTTACGAAAAGTCTTTTTGCTCTGTTGTTGACGTTTCAGCCTCTGTGACATCACTCTCTTGTGCAGTTATTATTGTAGAGCATTCCTGTAGGATATCTTCATCTTCCTCAAGGACCAGACATGGTCTCTTTGATGAAGTTTTGAGGGGTGTGGAAGACGCAACAGCTGTATGCGAAACTACTTTTGTAGTATCATCAAAATTTGCCAATGTTGTCTCTGTCTGGACACCTGAAATATACAATTTATCAAAGCGTCAGGAAATATTCACTTTCTTTTTCGTGGGTATTCAATTCAATTGAAATGCATTTGTATATTGCTTCATTTTTAAATAAACTTTACAGAAAATGAATGTAGAAATGCACATATAAAAATTCAGTTATTTACGAAAAAATATATAATACTATATTGTATATTATGTAATATAAACTTAGTTAAAAACATCAACGTACTGATACTCCTGTGGTGAGTTTGTAGCGTCCTCATTGATAGTTGTGTACCAACACTGCACAGCTGTGATGTTTGTGTCTGCACGCCAAAATCCCTACAGCTTCGTGTCGATGTGCTGGCCTTTGTAGAAAAATAATAATTTTGATATCTTGTCTTTTCCGAAAACAAACAGACTTTTTAATACTATATCTTCATAAACATATGCAAACGAGTGGTTACTTAAAAGGTATAAATTATATACACAGACATCATAAGACGACAACGACAACAACATTTGTTGTTGATGACTATTAACGTTAGCTCAGAAATCATAAAATACACTTACTTCTTCGGGAGGTGTCGTTGGATCGCGAACAGTAGGGAACGATCCACTCTTGAGGATTAATTTTGAAGCAAGACCTGCTTTAAATTGACCCTCGTTCAAAAAACAGTCACTCTCAAAATGATTTGAGCAAACGTAAACGTACTTCGGGAGTGTAAGAGGCGCATTTTCTTCATAAATAAAATCCATCCACTGCTTTTTCAGAGGCTCCGATGTCGGAAGCGAGTACACAGAACTATGCACAGTATTACAGCCCGCAACAGTGCACTTATGTTTCTTAGGAGGCATTTTCTGGAAGGAAACACAAATCTTCAGAACAGCGGTCCGGCTGTCGTTGAAACAACAATGGCGAATCTGCACAGATCACCGAGGGAGGAGTCTATGCCTCAATCACAATGTCAATCAAAACTAGGGTTGGGTATCGAGAATCGAGTATCGATTGGAGCCGAGACTAACTTTTCGTTTTTCCCGGAATCGTTCAAAAGTTAAAATTTCGATTCCTAGTTTCGATATTCACAGTCCGCCGAGCGGAAGAAGAAACCGCTGAACAACACCAATGAAGAAGCGTCTGCCGGAAGTGTTGGCATAACCGCGCGAGTCGAACATGAGTACCTTACGTCGGCGATCCAAAGTGTGGCTTCCCTTTTCTAAAAATAACGAAATCTCGGCAAAATGCAAAATTTGTGACAAAAGGAGTATTTTTACAGAAGGAGTATTTCCTTCAGAAAGGATTATTTCCTTCAGAAAGGCCATTGGTTAGCAAGGTTAGCTAAACTTTTTTGACCCTGCCTCTTAGAAGAATCCGAATCGAGAATCGTTAGGAACCGGAATCGAAACAAGGAATCGGAATCAGAATCGTTCAAATTCAAACGATACCCAACCCTAATCAAAACCCTTTCTCCTTTTCTACGTCACTAAGAGCTGGATCTCAGAACAACTCGTTCTGAGAGAGTGCTTATGATTTATGGAGAATGTAAAAAACCCACTTGCTGAATTTTTATCACGCTAGGGTGGTTTTGCTCACACACTGCCAACATACATTTATGTTCAGACAGCATGTAAAAGTGGATTTTGCATAATAGGTGCCCTTTAAGTGTCAATTTACAGGAGATCTGAAAACATCAGCATAATAAATGAGGTGAAAACAGGAACTATTGTCATGAAATAAAGAGTGTTTTCAGCAGATCTGTTAATATTGATGATCCTCAGACTATCAACACTCATTCAACAAGCCATTCAGGATCATCAGCAGATCATCTCACTTTATTCTGAGTGTTTGCTGTTAGAAACTATCTAGCTATTACTGGAAAAATAGCTGTATTAGAAGACAGTACTGTTATTTGTTACAATTACACGTATAAATATAGTTTAAAAAATAAATAACTGCATCGCAATAGATAACGTGTTGCAGTTTTGCAGAAATGATCACAACACCTTAATTAAAATAAAGAGTAACTTAGCTAAGCTACCACAAAATAATATTGTTTACTATATCAAACTGTAACCATGGTTATCTAGGCTAGTGTAAAATGCCTCGCGTGGCTCCCTATTGGCTCAATGTATTATTTACAAAGTTTTTAAATCAGGATCTTTTCCAACACGTTTGCTAAAGTTGTGAAAATAAATAAAACGGCAGCAGCGACACATAAGATCGTTTCCCCTCACAGATCTCAAAATTTAACTCACTCATACATAGAAACAATCACACAAACACAAAATCAGGTCTGAATGAACTCCACATATTCTCCTCAGGCTCGCTGCTGCTGCACTAAATGTGTATTTCAGGAGAAGAGGAAGACGCCAGAAAAGACGCACAAGTATCGCTGTGATCGATGAAAACAACACAAAATTAAGTCTGTCGCTTAATCTAACTGTATAAAGTGTGTTTGATGAGTGTGTAAAGATGAGAAATACCGTGAACTGCTCTCCTCACCTCAGAAGACTCGACGCTGAAACTCTTCCAGTTACAGTAAAGTGTGATTGCGTCACAGCGGCGCGACGAATGTTGTCCCAATAGAGGGGTTTCACCGACGTCACGTTCTGGGCGGTAACCCGGATGCGCGGCCATTTTGGAGGTACTCGGTGTAAACAACTGAATGGAGCACAATGGAGTATTGTGCGCTTTGGATACTTTAAGTGAATTATAGGCATGTCTAAACAACAGAAAAGCTCATCAAAGCGCGTCCAATATGCAAAGGCATATAGGGAAGGACTTGGGCCACAAGAAAAGGCGCGATATTTTGAGAAATTACGATTTATTGGCGGTGCAGATCCCTACGAGTTAGCTCCCTGAGTCCCTCTTCTTAGATCCATGACAACCCGGTGATTCTTCCTTCAGTTGCATATCCTGATATATTGAATTGTGCACCTTTTCTGTAATTGTGATATGTTCTTTAAATATTTTTGGCATTTGTTTTTTAGTTGGTGATATTTTTGTAAAGCTATTTTGACAAATAAAAGTTATACTCAAGTTACATACAAAATTGTGTTTACAGTTAGTGTATTGCACTATATTAGACTGTATGATTTATAGTAGTGTAAAGTTTATAAGTGTCCTGATAAAAGTCTTTTTTCTTTAATAAATCTGTGTTCTGATGATCAGGATATGCTGCGTGTTGTCATCCACAACAAAACAATGACTTAATGACTGTAAATTAACAATCATTTATAGATCATTTTAGGCTTAATAGACAAGTCCAGACATGGATTCATTTATATTTTTATTGGCAAAGTTCATATAAAAATATAATTTAGTCAAAATCAACTACTGATGGACTAAAGTTCACCAGAGCACAACAGACAAGTCCAATCTTATCTATGGTACAATACCCATCACTATCTTTGTACATCAATAAATCAATTGGCTATATTCCCCCAAAAATAGTATATTTCTGGCACACACAACCAATCACACCCTCAACATGAATCCTGATGTGGGCAATTTCATGCGAATAAACATGACATCAATTACATCAGTGACAATCCTTGAAGCAGTGGCTTTTGACACGTTGAATGCATATGACAGGAAGGTTGTGGAAACATTAAGCCTAAGATGCATCAATGTCAGCATCAACTGCTTAAACTTATCAAGTGACTTCCTCACAGGGAGGTGGTGACTAAGGAATGTGAATAATACTAACAGTATCTGGTATGTAGGTAGGCCAGTGAAAAAATAAAACCTTTTCATCCTTGTCAACAAAGGCACTTTGGTCATAGGAAGTGGACACATGTGCAACATCAGAGCTCAACTGAATGTTTTCAGTTCTAAGATTTTGAAGTTCATTGGTCATACCCTCAATGACATCACCAGTCAATTCAGTTTGAGTCCCTATGCAGCAAAAATTGTTGCTGACAATCACTTGTGGTGGGGTCATCATCAGTCTCAGCAGCACTAGAAGCAGTAGCAGCTTCAGCTGGGTTAGAGTCATGCGACGTTTGTAGCTTGAGTTCCCTGTTTCTTTGGTTGACTGAGGTGAACCTCCTTGCTGACCTGTCAGTCCAACAGATGGCACAAAATCTGGGTCATCCTTTTGGTAAAGGTCAGACTTCTTACCTGTAATATAATGAGAAATACAGCACATTTTAGCTCTACATTTTTAAGAACGATAACAATAACATATTAAGTCATTAATGCCACATGCGGTAGCCTGATATGGATTATATTATGTCAATGTCAGCTTTGTTTATATAGAACATTTTAAATAGCCAGTGTCCTAACGTTACCAAAATGCTTTACAGTAAAATAAGCACACATAATTACTATTTACTATTCAAAATATTAATATCATTGCTCTAGAAAATGTGTTATGAGCCACTGCAATCAATATTTCACAATACCTGACAAGAAATGTGCCGAACAAATCCGGATATTGTGCAGATTTTTCCCTCGTAGATGTTGGTTGAGCTTTGCCAACCACAAGCGCCTCCTTTCCTCTGATAACTTCTGGCATTCCTCTCCTTGGTTTTTAATAAATTTTGGAAGTCGATAATATCCCAAATGTTTTTCTCGGTTTTTCCTATTAGTACAACCTGAAACACGCCAATAATTAAACATTTTTCTTGACGACGTTCGAGATATAGCTCAGTGCCTATGCTTATTGTGATGCGGAGTGCCTCCAAAATGGCCGACTTCCGGTTTGATGACGCGTCGTGAAACCCCTCTATTCAATACTGATTCAAAACCCTATTTTACCATTTCTCAATGCGAGTGGGCAAACTTCGCAAGCAAGTCCGGTATTTTATTTATTTATTTTTCAACCAATTTTGTACACTTGTGCAACGGAACTGCAGAGATTGATCGCGTCACTCTCTGATTTTCAACACGAAATAAGATATAAAGCACTATTCTGCCTCTTAAAAAACTTGGCTACACAAACGTGCTTACCTAGCTTTATTAACAACAGAAAATATACACAACCTTTTTGTTTTCCTTTTAAAAATATATGAATTATAACTGATGTTTAACAGAATATTTTATTTTATTATAAATCTAGGCCTACATTAAGTTTAAAGAATGTATGTATAATAAAATAAAATATTTTAGATTTATATATATATATATATATATATATATATATATATATATATATATATATATATATATAAAACGACACAACCCTGTCTCTTGGTGTATTTTTTATTTTTATTTTATTTCTTTTATTTTTCCAGGAAGGTCCCATTGAGATTAAAAGAAATCTCTTCTTCCAGGGAGTCCTGGCCAAGATGACCACACTACAAATCACACACAACACATATAAAACATTCCAGAAATGTCAGTTTTTAAGATCAATAAGCCATTATAAAAGCATAAATAGCCTAAAATATAAAATTGCATGCAAATTAACTCTAAAATACATTTTATTATTATTAGCAAAATGTCATGCACATGAAACTGACTACAAATAAAACGTATAATTAAAAATATTAATAAAAACCACACAGAACACTAAAAAATAGCATTTTACCATGAAATATTATGACTAAAATCATTCAGAAATCAGATTTTTTTTGCATTGTTGTGTGACTTTATATCCAAACTGCTTTAAAATGAAAAAATTAAAAAACATTTGATGTAATATTTTAGATAAAATACACATTTTAGTCACAATGCTAAAAAACAATAACTTTTGAAACTCAATCCTGTTACTTTCAGTCCTGTTACTATTTTTTTTTCTTCTAAAAAATAAAATTAAACCACTATTTTTATCAGTTTTGTTTGGCCCATAATTTATACAATTATTTAATGACTCAATTCTTAAAAAATAAATAAGCTTGAGACTTCGGTCATCTTTAAAATGTAAAAATGCCTTTGCGTTTTTTTTTTTGGTTTTTTTTTTTTTTATCAAAATACCCCTTGCTTTAATAGTGATTTTATTTCATTTTTATTTATTTTTTTTGAACATATACAACATAAACAAAGGAATTAATTGACATGCTTCTAAACTTGCTTTTTAAATGACACATGATTTTCAGTAACAGGACTGAGAAAACATGCGTCCATATATTTATGTTTGAAACAATGATTATGTGGACTGAAATGTGTATTACTGTAATGAAAGCATGATATCAGGTTTTGAAGCTCTTTTACACGTGTTATCATTTTGGATTTATTTACTAAGACTTGTGAAAATAGTAACAAAGCGAATACAGTTATCTTAAACGTATAATAAAAATATTTAGATAAATTAGCACACTATGACATTCTAAATAAAAAAAAAAACTTTTATTTATTTTAGTATTGCTGAAGCTCTGTCTGAAATGTAAATTGAGGATAACAACAAAAGTGCTCCCTCTGTGCCCACATCTCTAATCTTCTTTCCAATAACAATGGCCAAATGTTTAAGGTGATAACATCTCTTTGAAGCCCCCTAATCAAGATGGTTCTCGAATACCCGCTGTCACTCCCACACTATAGGTGATAAACGTGACTCTGTGATACTTTTAAGATTTTAAGGAATTGATTCTATGATAAATAAGCTCTTTTAAGTGAAGGAACATTTCAATATATATATATTGGAGTGGAAGTTGGATCGGAGCAGACTATAATTTCTTACAAGTTTGAGAGACCCAAGTCTGACTGTGCTGATCCTAGGTCCAGGTCCACTTCCCTACATATTCAATAAGGGACAAAAAGTAGCCTATTTGATTCACTGCCAATTTTGCAGGTTTTCCCACTTGCGTAGAAGTCTGTCATTTTTAGCATAGGGTTAGGGTTAAACAACAAAAATCCCGAAAATCACATTATATGATTTTTAAGTAATTAATTTGCATTTTATTGCATGACAGAAATATTTCATACATTAGAAAAGCAGATCTTGATATATTTGGTACAGAAACCTTTGTTTGCAACTACATAGATCATACGTTCCATGTAGTTTTTGCACACACTGCAGCAGGGATTTTGGCTTTTATTATTATATACAATATAAAATGTTTCAAAGCAGCTTCACAATTGTAACAAATTCAAAATCACCCGATATTCAGCTCAAGTCACTTCAGTGTTCATTCAGTTCAATAACTGTAACATTCATCAATCGTGCACATGTATGACAAACCAACCCGATCTCACGACCAAATCGCACGAATTCGACGAATGATTAAAAAGTGGCTAATTCGTAACAATTCGTATGACCTGCTAAATCGTACATACTTTACGAATTGGCCAATTCGTATGAATTCGTACGAATGACCAACCCCTGACCCCGCCCCTAAACCTACCCATCACGTGGGTTTAGACAAATCAAGATCAACATCCAAAAGATGATTTTTTTATTCCTCTTTTTAGGCAACTTTAGCATGGGTGTCCAAACTTATTCACATCACTGTATTATGCTGGTGTCGAATGATCTACGTTTCCACTTAAAGCTAATTTTGTTGGTGTCAACGGACAATTTTTAGTGATTTCTTTTGTCTCATGCAAAAGCCTGTATAAGCAGAAACTAGGTCACAGGGTTTGGGAAACACATGGGAAACTACCCAGATTACTCTTAACACCCAAAGATAAGTGTACTCCCATTGGCTCCCTGGCGATAAGATAAGGCTGAAGGCTGGCCATTGTAACAGCTGCTGCTCACTTTGTTGCTTGTCTAATGAAGTTTATTCTCCTGAGACCTGAAACTTCGACTCAGAGATTTATTAGAGAACTTCGAATTTGCCACAACATGTTCAACTGTTTTGTTTTTTTTACTGCAAGAATTGACATTAAATTATTGCTCTCCAGAAGAATGAAAGCAAACTTATATATTTTTGATTTTGTCTCTCTTTGATTTTTTGATCTCTTACACACATGCTGGAATATTCCCAACGGCTACAAGTGAAGACGAGCATCAGGAAGAGCTGAAATCTGCAAAGACTGAGTTTATTAAAGAGGACAGTGAGAACACGAGTGATCCAGAACCCTGCAGAATGAAACACACTGAAGATCCTGAAGAACAAAGAGGTTGGTGTTTATTCGTCATTCATTCGTGATGCAGAAATATATAAGTTTGCTTTTTATATATCTGCTTCTCAATATTTTTGCAACTATTACCAACATTTTGGACATTTCTCAATATAGTTTAGGCTACAGCTATGTGATTTGTTATTTTTTAACGATAACTGAAAACACCATGAACAAGTAGTCCTATATCATCTTTCCAAAATGGCTGACAGGGTTGTAAGGATAACTTTTAAAGGGCTAGTTCACCCAAAAATGAAAAATCTGTCAGTAATTACTCAGGCTTGTGTTGTTGTTCCAACCCTGTAAGACTTTTGTTCATCGTCGGACCCCAAATGTAGATATTTGTGATTAAATCTGAGAGCTGGCCCTAGTGAAAAAAAAGTATACTTTATTGTATTTGAATATATTCCCTTTTTCGATAGTACATTGCACATATACTAACAAAAACTGTACTATCTTTGAATATATTAAAAGTATATTAACATCATGCTTTTTACCTATTTTCACAATAAAACTTTTAACACACTTTAAAATAATTGTACTTAAGTATATTGAAAAACAAGCATACTTTTAACATATTTCTAAAAAGTGCACTATAAGTACATTGATTACAAATATATGCGGATCACTCAATCTATCCTGCATATATTGAAATTCTGAAGATATGAACTAAAAGGTAAGAATTACAGGATCTTATTTGAGTCTTGTTGTGCTTCCTTTAAGATTATAATAATGTAACTGGTATTAAATAAATAAATATACACAAATAAAAACTACAATCAAATAATAAAACATACATTCCAAAATAAAATTAAATTCACAGAATTATTATTATTTTTTTTTTTTGTGAACTAACCTTTTAAGTAAAGTTTGTAAACCCATTTGCATAAAGCCGCTCACAGTAAGATTTTTGTCTTAAGTATAGTGATGGCTGATGGGTACCGAAAATGGTATTACGAGCTTTTGGATATAATGGAAGTCACTTCCTGTACAAATTTGCAACAGTTCTAGTCTTTCTGTCTTTAAATCTCATCTTAAAACGTGTATCTGTATGAGCAGGCTTTATGTGATTTAATGTTTGATGCTGTACTGGTTTCATGTCTTTGCTTTATGGATTTTGTAAGGTATCCTTGAGTGCCACGAAAGGCAACTAAATAAAAAAATATTATTATTATTATTATTATTATTAGTAGTAGTAGTAGTAGGCCTAGTAGTAAAAGTAGTAGTATTAAACGTGACCTGGGGCTAAATTATTAACTACTGCAGTTTCGATAAGCTCCGACATTATCGGTTCTGCTAATAAATAAATAAATAAATGGAATTATTTAAAAATAAAATAAATAATATTTTTTATTATTCTTATTGTTATGCTAGTCGTTTCTATATGCGATAAAATAATTTGTCTATGATCCATGGTCTCATTAAGTTCTGCGTAAGATCCTTGCTGTACTTTACACTTCGGTTTAAACAAGGACTTTTTTTTGATACTTATTTTTGAGTTTTCCTTAGTTTTCCTATGGTTTCCTGTTTAAAAGAGGAAGTAGGCCATATTTCTTCAGTGCTTGAGTTGTGCAAGGTGCTCCATGTGGTTGCAGGCAAGACAAAAATGCGCCCGAAAGACAAAAATGTTGTATGTAAAAAAAAAAAAATTCAGACTAAAAGCGTGTGTAAGCCAGAATCTGCGCAGAATTCACTTTAAATCACAGTCAGTGTAAGATTGCGTGCACATCCGTCTCCACAAAATAACTATATGGAGCTTACAACATCTAGTTTTACTATGAATATCCTCATCTGCTTATCATTTCCATATGGATTATTCATCCACATCATAACATGTTTATTGGAACAAGACATTACAAAAATATGAAATACGGATGTCATTAATAAAAATAATTGCATAGCCTAGCCTTGTTTTTTGAATAAATAAATCAAATAGTGTAAGTTTTTCTCAATCTTTTCCACTGGCCAAATAGCATTTTTAGTTAATTTATATTTTTTGGAAATAGTTTTATTTGCACAAAACTATAAATATTCATATTAACATGTCCGACTTGGTACAAAAACTGCGATAAAACCTGTTGGAAAGCATCTTTTGCAGCGATTTTTGTGTGAGCATAAACACAAACTAAAGTTTAATGCGATCTATGAATAGGGATTGAATTTAATAAACAAATTACAAGCATTGGTTTTCAGATAAATCTTAGCATATTCATATAACGCCAGCGATATGTTATGACGATTTTCCCGTAATCGTTCAAAAGTTTAAATTTCGAGTCCTAGTTTCGATTCACAGTCCGTCGACCGGAAAAAGAAACCACTGAATACCAATTAAGAAGCGTCCACCAAAAGCGTTGGCATAACCGAGCGAAGCAACTTGAGTCGTCCTAATGGTGCGTTCACATCAGATGCGAATAGCACGTCAAATTCGCACCTACCGCATCTAGTTATACAGTGGGAAAATTTTGAATCCATTCGCGCGTTAAGAGCGAAATTGACACGTGTAAAAAAACAAAGTTTGAAACAAAATTTACGCAATTAGTTTGCATTGACTTAACATTGAAATCACTCGCGTCAGACGCTCTATTCGTGTCTGGTGTGAACGCAGCATCAAACCGAGACATGGATATGTTCCAAAAGTGCTCTCGACGCCGTTCAGAAATCAGGTTATTTGGCTGGTTGCTCTCTCCTCGCCAGATCACGAAGGTTTTAGAAGTTGTTTCCTATAGTTTATTTGCCATTCTGCAGCAGGTTAGCAGGTAACATCTTCAACTACCTACAGCATCATACACTCAAGTGTAAGTGTGTTTTCATGAGGTTTTCAAAAATAAAGCTGAAGAAAGTGTACCCTTGTGAAAATATATTCATAATTTATCATATTTAAATTAAAGTCCATAGATTTGATATTTATATTTTACTTGAAAACAGCCCCGTGAGAAAGACTATTTCCTTCAGAAAGAGCGTTGGTGAGTTAGCTCGTTTAAAATATCCTAAGATTTGTTGACTTAAAAGAATCGGAATCGAAACAAGGAATCGGAATCATTCAAATTTGAAACGATACCCAACCATAGTTACATCAGAGCTCACTTTTATGTCCTTTCACTTCTATTTCACAACTAATTTGATTTACTGAAAATGAAATTAATCTTTTTTTTTTCCTTTCGTGTCAGAGCTGATGGAAGAGAACGGAGAGAGTGAAGAACTGAGTGAAGAGGAGGAGGAACATCATGTCAAACCTGGAGAAAAACCTTTGAGTCGCTCAAAGACTAAACAGACATTTTTAAAAAAAAGAAGAGCCAAGAAATCTACAACCTGCACTCTGTGTGGAAAGAGTATCAGAACCAAGCATCTCAATGAACACATGAGTGTTCATACCGGAGAGAAGCCGTTCTCTTGTGATCAATGTGGACAGAGCTTCACACAAAAATCAAATCTTAAGAAACACATGATGATCCACACCGGAGAGAAGCCGCATGAATGTGATCAATGTGGGACAAGCTTCGCACTAAAATTACATCTTCAGGAACACATGAGGATCCACACCGGAGAGGAGCCGTTCTCATGTGATCAGTGCGGGAAGAGTTTTCCATACAAACGAAGTCTTGATGTTCACATGAGAGTTCACTCTGAAGTGAAGCCGTTCACCTGCGATCAGTGCGAGAAGTGTTTCACACAAAAAATACACCTTAAGATTCACATGAGGATCCACACTGGAGAGAAGCCGTACACTTGCGATAAATGTGAGAAGACGTTCACGAATTTATCACACCTTAAGAGTCACATGAGAGTCCACACGGGAGAAAAGCCGTTCATGTGTGATCAGTGTGACAAGAGATTCTCAACCAAATACAGTCTTGATCTTCACCTGAGGGTTCACACCGGAGTGAGACCGTTCGCATGTGATCAGTGCGAGAAGAGCTTCGTGAATTCCAATAAACTTAAAAGACACATGAAAGTCCACACTGGAGAGAAGCCGTACGAATGTGATAAATGTGGGACGAGTTTCACAGAATCATCAAACCTTAAGAGTCACATGATGATCCACACCGGAGAGAAGCCGTTCACATGCGATAAATGTGGAAAGAGTTTCAGGGATTCACGATACCTTAAGAGTCACATGAGAATCCACACTGGAGAAAAGGCTTTCACTTGTGATCAGTGTGAGAAGAGATTCTCAAACAAACAAAATCTTGAGGTTCACATGAGAATTCACACTGGAGAGAAGCCGTTCACATGTGATCAATGTGGGAAGAGTTTCGCACAAAAACCATGGCTTGAGCTTCACATGAGAGTTCATACTGGAGAGAAGCAGTATATGTGTAATCGGTGTGAAAAGAGATTCGCTCACAGACAAAATCTTAATGCTCACATGAAGATCCACACCGGAGAGAAGCCGTTCTCATGTGATCAGTGCGACAAAACATTTCTGCTGTCATCAAACCTGAAAAAACACCTGACAGTTCATACGAAGGAGAAGCCGTATTCATGTTCTGTGTGTGGAAAGAGTTTTTCATTTCTGCAAAGTTTACAAAGACATGAGAAAATGCACACTGGTGTGAAAGAGTTCATGTGCTTTGAGTGTGAGAAGACTTTTATTTCAAGCAACCGTTTAAAACAGCACCAGAGAATTCACACTGGAGAAAAACCTTACAATTGTTCACAGTGCGACAAGAGATACAGTAGTTCAGCATCTCTGAAAAAACATGAGAAAATCCACACTGGAGAAAAACCTTACAAGTGTTCACACTGTGACAAGAGATTCAGTGATTCATCATATCTGAAAAAACATGAGAAGATCCACACTGGAGAAAAACCTTGAAAGTGTTCACACTGCGGCGAGATTCAGTCAGTCGTCATGACTGAAAAACACATTAAATGATCCACAGTGGAATACAGAGACAACGTCACAGATGCAACACCATCATCAACACCAGCTCCACAACCTCGATCAGCTTCGCCTGGATACTAATCCAGCACACCGTCACCAGTTCATCAGCAGTCACCTCTCACTTCACAATCATCTGGTCTTGTTGTTCAACACTGGTCAACTTAACCAGCTCCTTACCTGTTCATCTCACGTTTGAGACTACTCACCTTCTTCATCCTCAAAGAGACAATTACTAGCCAGCTACGTTTATTCAATTGATCTTCATCCAGAACAATCACCTGTTGTTTCTACTCAATCTATGCCACCTGTTTCCGTGAATTGTACCTCATTCTGTCCGCTCTTCCAGACTCTTCCAGATTATTTCTACAATTACACAAGGTACAGTGGGTACATGACACATTTTCATCCCCAGAATAGTACGCTTTCCATCCGTTTTAACCTTGCCGCACAGCTTGCACATGTAGGATTATCCATGAACAAACCCATTTAAAGAACACAACACCGTATGCTACAGTTCGGAGAGATCCCCCACCGAATCATTAGTAAGTCATAAAATGCATCCATGGTGCCGAGATGGCTAAAGGAGACGTCTTCACCCACACCTGCCTAATCTTCAACCAGTGACGCAAGTTTGTCCCCCAAACGTAAGAGCAAATGGCCAGGAAACGGTGTGGTGACCCCAATGCATAATCCCCACATTCTTGTCAGGAAAATAAGGTTTGTGATGATGGATCCGCCCAAAATCACCACAGACTTTAACCAGTGATATCTCGCATCCTCCCAGACACCTTTCTCTCTAGCAGTACATCCCAGAGACCTCTCCTCCTGAAACCAACAGAGACCATAATTAACCCACTCATGGTTTCAACAAACTTAAGCTGCGTTTCCACTGCAGGAACTTTCCCCAGGAACTAGGACCTTTGGGGCGGCACTCTGTGTGTTTACACCGCAGGAACCAGGGTCTAAATTAAGTTCTGGGTAAAAATTGCCCCCCAGAAAGTCCCTGCTGGCGAGGTAGTACTTTTTCAGAGTTCGGGAACTTTCGGGGTGGGACTGGTGTGCTGAACATGCTGATTGGTTGAGCTTCTTGGTTCTTACCAATCTTGTTCTTTCTGCCCGATGGCGCGCGTTCGTCCCATCCATCTCACGGTCAATGTCCGCTATAGCTGATTACAAACGTGTCTACTTTTATGTCTAGCATTACAAGCTTTCTGAATACGCTTTAGTATTATTATTATTATTAGTTTCATTAGTAAGTCATAAAATGCATCCATGGTGCCGAGATGGCTAAAGGAGACGTCTTCACCCACACCTGCCTAATCTTCAACCAGTGACGCAAGTTTGTCCCCCAAACGTAAGAGCAAATGGCCAGGAAACGGTGTGGTGACCCCAATGCATAATCCCCACATTCTTGTCAGGAAAATAAGGTTTGTGATGATGGATCCATGGCCCAAAATCACCACAGACTTTAACCAGTGACATCTCACATCCTCCCAGACACCTTTCTCTCTAGCAGTACATCCCAGAGACCTCTCCTCCTAAAACCAACAGAGACCATAATTAACCCACTCCAGGAACTAGAAATTTTGGGGTGGTACTCAGTGTGTTTACACCGCAGGAACAAGGGTCTAAATGAAGTTCCAGGTAAAAATTTCCCCCTCTGAAAGTCCCTGCTGGCGAGGTACTGTAGTACTGTTTCAGAGTTCAGGAACTTTCGGGGTGGGACTTGTGCAGTGAACATGCTGATTGGTTGAGCTTCTTGGTTCTTACCAATCTTGTTCTTCCTGCCCGATGGCACGTGTTTGTCCCATCCAACCTCCTAAAACAGAGACCATAATTAACCCACTCATGGTTTTAAACATACTTAAGCTGCGTTTCCACCGCAGGAACTTTCCTCAGGAACTAGGAACTTTGGGGCGGTACTTGGTGAACCTGGGTCTAAATGAAGTTTGGCCAAAGTCAAACACAACCGTCTTTTACATACAACGTTTACATATCATCGTTTACATACAACGACTCTAATGTTCACAACTTCACACTTTTGATGAGACCAAACCAACTGTACATAATAAAAGTTCAGGGTGCCAAAACTGACTGAAAATGTTACACTGAATGTTGATACAAATAATGGATGCTAATCATTTCAAAATTAGCTTACTTTGTTACAATATACTTTTTCCTGTAATATATGCTCTGGATTCTGTTTTTTTTAATGTAGTTTCTAATGTAATGAATGATCTGTAGTGTTTATAATATTGACTGATGTGTGTATGATCTGACATCATTGTTTGATGATTGATTTTGAGCACGGATAAAAAAAAGTTTTTATGCAATTGTTTGATTTTGCCAGAAGACTCTTGGTTTGTTTTTGTGTTTAATGTTTTGAGAAAGTGATAATGGTTTTTAAAATTTTTTTCTCTTTGTGTTCAAAGTAATCGTGTCTAACGCTAGACATCTGGGACACCATTCATCCTCTATTAATATCATCACTTTTCCCTGTCACTGTTTTAATTAATGTGTGTGTTTTTCTTTTGATTACTTTGTGTGTATTAGAGTAGTTCAATAAAGTCTTGCTTGATTTTACAAGTGTCTTGTGCAAGTTACTGTCTTTAATTGTAGATTTTGTTTCCTTGCTTATATTCAGCGATCATAATTTTATGATATTAATACCATAGGCCACAAGATAATAATCTGTCCAGAATTGATAAAATACTCTAATCTCAATTTTAGTCTAAGTTCCATTACTCACGTTCTTTAATAGATAAATAAATAAAAATACATTTCATATAAAAATATATTGCCTGCGATGTGAAAATATAATGTTCAAGAGTGCTAAAAGACAGCAAAGGAAGGACATCCGGTTTATGAAGCTTGATTTACAGAGACTGAAACGCCTACAACAGAATGATTGCATCATCCAGGGCATGGAGAAGCTGAGCTTAAAGGAGTAGTTCACTTTTTTAAAAAACTTTAATGATAATTTACTCACCCTCATGTCATCCAAGATGTCCATGTCATTCTTTCTTTAGTCGAAAAGAAATTAATGTTTTTGATGAAAACATTCCAGCATTTTCCACACGGCACCCTTTAGTATCAATATAACGCACAGAGTATGGGCAGGTTTAGTTCTGGGGTAGGGTTAGACCACTAGGAGGCGCCTTCTGCAACATGTATATAGACCATTTCACAAGATGTAAACAACACTGGTCCAGAAGCACTTCCTGTTTCAGTTTTTTAACACTACAAAAAAGCTGGGATAAAATATAACCAACAGAACATTTACAACTGAATCAAAAAGTTAAACAAACATCTTTAAGATGTTTTCTTTACATGTGAAATAAAGAAAACAGTTACAAACTGAAACAGGAAGTGTTTCTGGACCAGTCTTGTTTACATCTTGTGAAATGGTCTATATCTGCATCTCATATTGACGCTAAAGGGTGCCATGTGTGTTGGATGTCCACGTTTAGGCAAAAGCGTCAGTATATGACGATGAGAACGGGCTGAGCAATCAGTGTGATTTACAGATGATGGAGATTTTGCAGGACGCATTTGAACACATTTAGAGTATAGCTCTGTTCTCAAAATAGATTAAAACGCTGATAAAGCAGATTTCAGGAAGTGTCTAGAGACTGCAAACATGGTGTCGAAATGTTCAGCTGGTGACTAGTTTATTTAGCCTGACTACGTCAGACTTCCTACTTCCGCTAATTTCATTTCGCTCCTGTAGTGAGTCTGAGATAGCGGCATATCTTTCAGTTTTCCACCGGCCTGAAAACAGCCGGCCAATCAACGAACAGAGGGCGGGCTGAGAGGTGCAACGTAGACGCTAAGCGCCGAGTTTTACATTGTAGGTTAGAGAAATCGAAAACCGAAACGACCGCAGAAATGGGAAACAAGACACGGGATGCAATTCGCTCTGTTATGGAAAACATTCCAGGGTTTTTCAAACTGAAGCAAAAGTCGTTTACAGCCGTGTTCACTCCGGTATTTCGCTCGCATCATCAGTGTTTACAGCGTGCACTTCTGCCGCTCTAGGCAAAAAACAATTTTGCTGCCCCTCTATTTGCAACGTATACCTGCAAAAACCAGCATGCTTGGCCATTATGTAGCTTGCACAACGCGCATACACTTTGATTTTCTCATCAACACAGATGCAGCCGTTTTTATTTTTGCAAATCATTATAACAAGGACAAATATTAACACTTCAAGCTTAGGCATTTAGGCTACCCAATTTTTTCAGGCTAATTGTAGTAATGACGGATCAGACCTGTTTGGCCATAACTATATGCATAACTATAAGGACATAACATACCCCCATTCAACGTCAGTTCTCCGTCTTTTACGGCCATGACAAGAAAGTCGGTCTCCTCGGCTGTGAACGCTCCTGGTGCGCTTATATTATCATAATAATAATCCACCATATTTCGTTTCGACATCCTGCTGCATTAGTCCCAGATATGTGATTCATGAATAATCTGTTCATTGTGTATGTCACGTGACAAATGAACGTAAGACTCAGAAGGTAAAGTGATTATTAATGTTCCCTGTAAATCATTTTTTACTGCATTATGATTTCTTAATTCAGAATATGATCAACATTCCCAGATAGCAAACTGACATTGAATCAACGTGGAAACATGACATCGAAACAACGTTGATCTGACATTGTTTTGCTCATCGAATTAACGTTGAACCAACGTCAGACGCGTCATTCTTTCAAAACTAACGGAAAATCAACTTGAAATCAACGTTGTTTCATCGTTATGAAAGCAAACCAATTTTCGATTTCATTTAGCTTTGAAGAATGGCGCGTCTGACGTTGGTTCAACGTTAATTCGATGAGCAAAATCAACGTTGTTTCGATGTCATGAGAGACGTCGTTTCCACGTTGATTCAATGTCAGTTTGCTGTCTGGGTTGCGTAGGTGGATGTGATCGGGGAATTTGGCTGTTAAAATTATAACATTAAGCCACTTAAATAAACGGAATGACTCAGAAAATCAGTAAAATGAACTTCCTATTCATGACTCGCGAGAGCAGCGGCTCGGTCTCGCACTTGATCGCGGCGCTGCGGGCGGCGGAAGCTAAATCAGACTCGTGAGAGCGGGGCAAGCCGGCGCTGCGGGGCGTCCGCAACTCAGTAATTCATAACCTAGTTTGTGAATTGTTCATTCCCGGTTGGCACACATTTTGCAGCCCTTACAAAAGCGCCGCTCCCTGTTTACAGTGGAAGTTCGATCATAGATTTGAGTTCGATGCATAATGTCTCGATGCGGCCGTGTCGGCGCATAACATACGTCATAAATAAACGTATCTGATTGGCTTGCGGGTAACCAATGATTTTAAACTTCAGAGAAAACACTTCTCTATTATGCCATTCCAGACTCTGTCTACGAAGCAAAGTGAAGTACTGTAGAGTCTGGTATTACCAGGCTATAGTTTATTGTCTGTGTGAATTGAAACATTCAGACTTTCACATCAGAACTATGAGGGTACATTTCAGCTCATAAATATGTATATTTTGTTCTCAAATTCAAATCTACAAGCTCTCGAATTTTGCTACTCTTGAATCTTCATACAAGTATTCATTGAAAACGTGAAACTTTCAGCTAACAAGAGCAAGTTTAGTTATGTGTGTTTTTACAGGAATGGAAGAGACGAAAACTTTCCCCTTTTTCATGCTCTTTATTGTCACATGTAAAAAAATAAAGAAAATACTGATATTTAATTTCGTGACATACTGTATACAAAATGCAAAGTCAAAGTTTCGAATATCTTATGAAAATATAATGTGAGCAAACACTGATGTAATTCTCAGACGGACGACTCTCGATAAAAGAAGCTGCAGATATACAAGCTGAACGTGTGTGTGCACAAGGTTAAAGCTCTCTCTCTGTGTGTGTGTGTGTGTGTGCACAAGGTTAAAGCTCTGTGTGTGTGTTTGTGTACAAAGATAAAGCTCTGTGTGTGTGTGCGCAAGGATAAGGTCTCTCTGTGTGTGTGCATGTGCGTGTGTGAGTGTGTGTTTGTAAGGTTAAAGCAGACGATCTATGGGACAAGCCGGATTCCATCGTAACTTTCTCTACACAATAATAATCTTTTGCATTGTAATCCTTTAATTGTATTATTTGGCATGTTTGTGTGCTGTTTCCGTCCCTGTGTGTGTGTAATAAGCAGATTGTGTGTGCGTTGTGGAACCTCCTGTAGGCACACATTACTAACGGACTCTTTAAAGGGTTAGTTCACCCAAAAATGAAAATTAAGTCATTAATTACTCACCCCCATGCTGTTCCAACCCCGTAAGACCTTCGTTCATCTTCGGAACACAAATAAAGATATTTTTGATTGAATCTGAGAGCTGTATCAGCCCTAGATAGACTGCCTAAGGGACTGGCTCTTGACGGCCCATAAAGTCATTAAAGAAAAGGTTTAAATATTCCATGTGCCTACAGTGGCTCAATTATAAGTTTATCAAGCGACGACACTACTTTTTGTGCGAAAAAAACATAAACAACGACTTAATTCCACTATTCCATTACTTCCTTATGGGCGCATGCGCGAGAACTGAGACGAGGACGTTCTCATTCGTCTACTTCTTGTTACCAGCTGCTCACCGCTTAGGAGTTTTACCGCCACCTACCGTATAAAATGATGATCCATATATAAGGCGCACCGGATTATAAGGAACACTGTCGTTTTTTGAGAAGATTAAAGCCTTTTAAGTGCACCTTGTAGTGCGGAAAATACGCAAATTGAAAAGCGTATGTACAGCGCGCATCTTCCTCTGCTTTAAACAGAAAGTTTTGCGCTTCCAGTTATATCAACACATCATCTTATACGGTAGGGGGCGGTAAAACTCCTAAGCGGTGAGCAGCCGGTAACAAGAAGTAGACGAATGAGAACGTCCTCGTCTCAGTTCTCGCGCATGCGCCCATAAGGAAGTAATTGAATAGTGGAATAAAGTCGTTATTTATGTTTTTTTCGCACAAAAAGTAGTCTCGTCGCTTGATAAACTTATAATTGAGCCGCTGTAGGCACATGGAATATTTAAACCTTTTCTTTAATGACTTTATGGGCCGTCAAGAGCCAGTCCCTTAGGCAGTCTATCTAGGGCTGATCCAGCTCTCAGATTAAATCAAAAATATCTTTATTTGTGTTCTGAAGATGAACGAAGGTCTTACGGGGTTGAAACAGCATGGGGGTGAGTAATTAATGACTTAATTTTCATTTTTGGGTGAACTAACCCTTTAAATAACAAAAAAATACTGCACCATTGACTTTAAACAGGTTTTTGTTGGTCAACGGCTCAGTCTATTTCATTTTCCTCAAAATAGCAACACGCCTGAACACACACCTCGTTCTCAGTCCAGCAGCCCATGGGCGTAAATGCATTTACTTGTTCTTGTTCACAGTGGCGTAAAGTTGATCCTGCGGTTTATCTTCTCTTCCTCTGATGGCAGCGTAAGTCACTGTATCATTATGATCCTGAAAGAACAGATTCTGTCCATCAATGTTTGAACCACAGTGATTATTATTATTATTAGAGCATGAGCTGGTATCTACTCACATCGAGAGCTTTTACTGGCTTTGTGTTGGAAGAAGTGACCTCAGAATAAGTGACATCATCTGTCTGCTCCTAAACATCAATGCAAACATGCAGAGAGTCGAGTTTAACACACAGAACAGACATTTCTCTCACTAAAATATGTAGAATAACACAAAAGTGAACGTAATATTTGATGATTTAGACTCACATCGGCTCTTGCAGCAGGAGGAATGGACATGTTGATCGTCTCATACGTCCCTTTGTGTTCATCCTCATCTTTGACCTTTAGACAACAAACAATTAAACTTCATGAATGACACTTTATTGAGCTTTAAAGACTAATCAAATCTAAATCACTGCATTACTGAACTCACCGCAGAGTCGCCAGTCCCTCTTTTATTATCTGAAAACAAGTGCATCATGAAATTAAATCGGATTTTGTTGAAGCATTAAAAATGAATAATAAAAATGATTGACTTGATAACTCGATGAGATTGACCAGTATCAGGAATAAACTTCTGTTTGAGAATTTCATATAATCCACATGTACTTCCAGTCTGAACATGATGTGTTTGTTTGCTCATCTGAACTGTTTTTAATTGTTGTAAAGGAGTAAATCTGAATCTCACCAGCTGTTTTTCTGCAGATCAGCCAGAGAAGAGCAAGAAGGAGAACAGCGACTGCAGCGACAGAAATCCCTATGACTGAAGAAGAGATCGAGCTCAGAGTCAGAGACGGACAGGCCAGACTGAGGACAATTATAGACAAAAGACTGTGATTATGGTTATTAATCATGATTATTATTATTATTACCTTGTGTGATTGTAGGATGAGAGGTTTTAGCTCTAGCTGAAAAGGATGATTGAGGACAATTATAGACAAAGACAAAAGCCATCGACACCGGATGAGATTTCAGATGATTCTGATCTTCCTCTGACTGTAGATTAATGACCCAAGATTTATTTATTGTTCATTGCTCTTCTTTTAAGAAACAAAATTAAAAAGTCAACTTTATTTTAATAAATTTGATTGTCACATAATAAAAAGTTAAATTTTTGCTGTCCAGTTTCAATTCCTTTATTATTCCCAGCATCTCTTTTGGGACTGTGACTTCACTGCAGTTCATTAGTTTGAAGCGAAGCTTTGAGTTTCTCTTCTGTGAGAGTCAAAGCAGCTTTTGTTCCCTCAGTTTGTTCTGGTTCAGTGATACTGATAGACCTCAGTGTTCCTGACATCATGAGGATCTTTAACAGTGTTTCTCACCTGAATACTTGACAGTGTATGTGACTGAGGCCTGGAGTTGATTTCTGTGAGTAAGCTGACATCTCCACTGTCTGTTGTTATCTTCATCCAAGAGTGTTGTAGTCAGAGTGATGATACAGGGATGTGGAGATGATGATGATGATGATGATATCTGATATCTGGAGTCTGTCTTCAGATTCACCCACAACAGCTCAACTCCATCAGGACGAACCCGATCATCACAGGAGTATCCAGTATATGAATACAACTGACAGGAGAGAGTCACAGAGCGGCCTGGACTGATCTCAGTCTGTGAGGATGAAGATGATGATGAAGATGGAGACACTGAAACTGAACACAAAACACAAATCACAGACTCTTATTAATTACGTATAAAGCACTAAATGGTTTATCTCTGCAGTATTTGATCGAGCTCTTAACTCATTATAGTCCTTCACGTCTATTGCGATCTCTAAACTCCGGCCAGTTGATAATACCTAGAATATCTAAATCCACTGCAGGCGGGAGATCCTTTTCCTATTTAGCACCAAAACTCTGGAACAATCTTCCTAACATTGTCCGGGAAGCAGACACACTCTGACAGTTCAAATCTAGACTAAAAACACATCTCTATGGCCTAGCAGACACATAACACACTATAGACTTCTATAACTCAATGTTCGGCTGCATAGTTTAGATCAGCCGGAAGTGGGAACACGTCCCGTAAATCCTGATATACTCTGATTATCCTGAGGTTTACGGCAGTCCGCCGGATCCAGATCTGATGAAGGACCTGCGCCTGGACACACACACACACACACACACATACTCACACACGCTTGTACCAGGGACCTATTTCAAGGTTTGCGTTCTCGAGCCGCTTGTGCGGATGAACAGATCATTAAAACCGGTTTTCTGTTAAAACGGTGTCATGTTAGCGGCCCCTAAGTTAATAACTAATGATCATTTTGACGGAAGTGAATCAATCAAAACTAACTTCAGCTGGACAATAACTTTATTCTAGATCTGCTGTAAAGACAAAACAATCTGTTACTGTAATTTCCTATTATCACTGTAAAACCGGTTTAAAACAATCTATATTGTTAAACGCGCTGTATAAATGAAGATGACTTGACTCATAAATCATCATCTGAGTTTAAAGGGAGAATTTTATATTGACCATATAATCATAAACTTACCATGAAGAACATGCAGAAAAACACGTGCATCAGTTCCTTGTTTCTGGTGTACTCCATTCACTATCCATTGTTGGCAAGTGTAAGATCCATAATCTTCTTCTGTGACGTTCTTGATGTTCAGAGAGCAGTCAGACTCCAGACTCAGTCTCTCATCTCTCTCTGTGTCTTTCTTCTTTATCCCTAAATTAATCAGTTCAACTGTTGAATGTCTGAATCTGCTGTAGGTCCATGTAGTTGATTTGCAGTCAGAAAGAGTTTTATTACAGGACAGACGGACATCTACACCAGAACTGATGAACACATGATCATCATCCACTCCACTGGTGCCTGAAACACAGTAGATCTCAGTGATCATTATGATATTTATTAATAAAACCATAAACTATACCAGCATAACAAGCAGAAGATACAATCACAGTGTTTTTCCTCATTTGAAGCAATCAACACACTCTCCAGAATAAACTATGAGTGTTTATCAGAGAGCTGTTCAAATCACTGACACACTCTTAATATGAAGATCATTCTTCATCATCAGATGTTTGAGTGACACTATGTCCAGTATCAGGAATAATACAGTATGATCTGTGTGTATCAATACACAACTCTGAGATCACAACGTGAATGTGTGCAAGAATAAACTGAGCATGTTCAAATCAACTCTTTCCAGACTAATTCCACTAAATGTGTTTAGAGAAAATACAGATTTCTTTACCTGTGAGAAGTGAAGAGAGAATGATCAGTCCCAGCAGACACAGATCACACTGATCAGACATTTCTGCTTCTGTCCGTTTCTGTCCGTCTTTCTCTTCAGTATATATATAAGTATAGCTCTTCCTTTAAACATCATCAGCTCCTCCTCTGGTTATTATCTTTGGTTTTTAATTCTGCTAGAGTTGCTATAGTGACAGTGACGTGTTGCTTTAAGTGTGTGTGAAACGTCTGAGAAGTGCATACACTGGTAACCGCACTGGCTCATCACACATCTGATCTGATCAGTTTATATCTACTTTTGCACACGAGAGCATTACTGTTAGTTTCACTTCTTTATTTTAGCAGTTTCCCGCATGACTTTAAAATCTAGAAATAAAATAATGGCATCATTAGTAATAAAATTAGATTTCTTCTTCCACTATCCGTGACTCACTCGTAGAAAATGAACTCTAAAACAGTTTTTAAGGTATTTTGATGATCATCATCAGTTCAACTGAGTTTCATCACGTCTCTTTCGACGAATCAACACCAGTGAAGAGACGAGCCTTGAGTTCTAGTATTTCATGTTAACGCTGCTGTTGAGAACTCAGCTAGTTTGACCGCACTGGTTTAACACACACACACACACACACACACACACACACACACACACACTGTCAGCAGTTTAGGCGGACGAGTGTGAACTCTCACACTCATCTAACCCATCTCATCGGATTTCTGTTTGCTGCATAATATTTAAATTAGGTCTGTGGCACGACACCAGATTAAGAGTAAAGATGGTACAAATTTAACAATGTACCAATTGCTTTCACTCACTCACTTTATGCCGAGTTCAGACTGCATGATTTTAGCCACGATTTTGGCTCGCCGACAGGTTTTGAGAAATCGCCGACAAATGCCCGAAATCACAGGCAAATCGGCGCTCGTTCACGCGAGTGACAATCACGCAGTGTGAATGAGAAAAGACGCGAACTGAGAGAATCACCGACGAGTCGCCGACGCCTGTGAGATATTTGGCATGCTAAATACTGGACCTGTCAGCGATTCAAAATCCTGCTGTGTGAAAAGTGTTTTGACTGAAAGTACATCGGCGATCACCGGCAGCCAGTGAGAGAGCAAGATACAGAGCAGCAGAGAGTTCGGGGAGGAGTTATAGATCACATATCAACATGATATATGGCATTGTTTCAGAAAAAAAAAAAGCTTCTTCTCGGTCTATTTGGACACAATAAATGGAAAAAACATTAGTAGAAATTTGGCAGGAGCACTCGTGTCTGTTTGACGTTTCACCAGCTGTACCACAACCGGGTAGGAAAAAAAAAGTCTCACGTGAGAACTCCAGTCTTGCACGTGTGGTGTCGCGTTGTTTCCTTTTCACATCTCACGTGTGTTTGTTGTGAAAGGTAGTTTGCGCGCAGCGTGCTAGACAGAGTCTGTCGGCGATTTTTCTAAAGTCATGCAGTGTGAAACCTTCTGTCACCGATCAATCGTCCAGTGTGAACACAGCAGTGACTGAATGCTGGCCAAGATAGTCATGCAGTGTGAAAAAAACAGCGACCCGACTACTTTGAAAATCATGCAGTCTGAACTCGGCATTACTTTCCTGTGCAATCTCCAGTCTTAGATCAAATTAAGTGTGTCTGAACGAAGGAATACTTCCAGAGTTGATCATACAAAAACATCTGGGTTGATCATGTTAAACAAGTCACATCATCTGGGCCCGGCTTTTCAAATGTAATCCAGTGGGATTTCGGATCACGGATTGGATCAAATCTTGGAAATGGGTTTTTCAAAGGCTAAGATCAGAGCATGTAATCCGATCTCACATTTGATCTGGATCAAATCTGCCCTTTTTCAAAACTTTGAACTCAGTTTGGGATCTATTTGATAAAAAAAACAAAAAACAAAACAGGATTATCCTGATCCCATCAGAAGGGTGGATTCAGTTTTGATTTTACAACCAAATACGAGTTTTTTTTAAGTGAATGATCACAAATTCAACGTTTACTGATAATACATTCTTGATATTTGAAACATATATGAAGCGTGTCACATCCAATGAGAAATGGTAAACAATAACAAACAAATCTCTGTTGCACACAGCTCTATAAATCCAAAGTATATTAATGGCAACGACGACAACAAATATACTCCGTCATTCATTAGCCTAGTTAAAAGTAATTTCTCACAATTGCATCTCCAATTGTGTGTCCTTCATTAGGTAAGAACATTGGCGGCTGTTCTGGTTCTACATCAGGCTCAGGTCCATCAAAACTGTCATCAAGAGGGACATGACCCCTGGTGGTGATGTTATGCTACTCGCAAGAGTTAAGAGTTCATTGATCAGGTCAAATGATTGTGAAATATTGATTATGTTAAAATACAACCAACACCATCAGATCACCTTTCCTATTTGTTCATCTGGCTATTATAATTCACGTATAACAGCCAAACAACATCTAAAGTTAACAATTTAAGGGTCAAGAGCCCAACTAAAACACACACTGATCTCTATAATGGTGACTTAAAAATCTCGGTTTTCTTCTTCGGTGATTCTGCTTGTTATCATCAGGTGTCTTCAATGATGGCAATGAAAATAAAGAGTTCTTTGACGTCAGTCTGTTATTCCGATATTTTTGTTTAGAAAAATGTGTAAATTTTACTCAATTTAAATGGTTAACTTTTAATTAATTTGTTTGGTTAATTATTACTCCATTCTAATTTGTTAAATTTAATTAATTATATTGATTGTAATCTGTTGCCTCAATTTTATTGATTAGATTTAACAGATTCAGTCATTTTCATTTTTACAGTGCAGATTTTGTTTCCTTGCTTATATTCAGCGATCATAATTTTATGATATTAATACCATAGGCCACAAGATAATAATCTGTCCAGAATTGATAAAATACTCTAATCTCAATTTTAGTCTAAGTTCCATTACGTTCTTTAATAGATAAATAAATAAAAATAAATTTCATATAAAAATAAATTGTCTGCGATGTGAAAATATAATGTTCAAGAGTGCTAAAAGACAGCAAAGGAAGGACATCCGGTTTATGAAGCTTGATTTACAGAGACTGAAACGCCTACAACAGAATGATTGCATCATCCAGGGCATGGAGAAGCTGAGCTTAAAGGAGTAGTTCACTTTTTAAAAAAACTTTAATGATAATTTACTCACCCCCATGTCATCCAAGATGTCCATGTCTTTCTTTCTTCAGTCGAAAAGAAATTAAGGTTTTTGACGAAAAAATTCCAGCATTTTCCACACGGCACCCTTTAGCGTCAATTTAACACACACAGAGTATGGGCAGGTTTAGTTCTGGGGTAGGGTTAGGGTTAGACCACTAGGAGGCGCCTTCTACGTATCTGCGTATCATTTTGACGCTAGAGGGTGCCATGTGTGTTGGATGTCCACGTTTAGGCAAAAGCGTCAGTATGACGGCTTGGGATGAGAACGGGCTGAGCAATCAGTGTGATTTCCAGAGGATTTGAACACATTCAGAGTATAGCTCTGTTCTCAAAATAGGTTAAAACGCTGATAAAGCAGATTTCAGGAAGTGTCTAGAGACTGCAAACATGGTGTCGAAATGTTCAGCTGGTGTCTAGTTTATAGTCTGTGTGAATCAAAACATTCAGATTTTCACATCAGAACTATTAGGATAAATTTCAGCTCATAAATATGTATATTTTGTTCTCAAATTCAAATCTACAAGCTCTCGAATTTTGCTACTCTTGAATCTTCATACAAGTATTCATTGAAAACGTGAAACTTTCAGCTAACAAGAGCAAGTTTAGTTATGTGTGTTTTTACAGGAATGGAAGAGACGAAAACTTTCCCCTTTTTCATGCTCTTTATTGTCACATGTAAAAAAATAAAGAAAATACTGATATTTAATTTCGTGACATACTGTATACAAAATGCAAAGTCAAAGTTTCGAATATCTTATGAAAATATAATGTGAGCAAACACTGATGTAATTCTCAGACGGACGACTCTCTGTAAAAGAAACAGCTGATATACAAGCTGAACGCAGGACGATCATGTGCGCAAGGTTAAAGCTCTCTCTCTCTCTGTGTGTGTGTGTGTGTGTGTGTGTGCGCAAAGATAAAGCTCTGTGTGTGCGCTCAAGGATAAGCTCTGTGTGTGTGTTAATTGTAATACTTGGCATGTTTGTGTGCTGTTTCCGTCCCTGTGTGTGTGTAATAAGCAGATTGTGTGTGCGTTGTGGACCCTCCTGTAGGCACACATTACTAACGGACTCTTTAAATAAAAAAAAATACTGCGCCATTGACTTTAAACAGGTTTTTGTTGGTCAACGGCTCAGTCTATTTCATTTTCCTCAAAATAGCAATGCGCCTGAACACACACCTCGTTCTCAGTCCAGCAGCCCATGGGCGCAAATGCATTTACTTGTTGTTGTTCACAGTGGCGTAAAGTTGATCCTGCGGTTTATCTTCTCTTCCTCTGATGGCAGCGTAAGTCACTGTATCATTATGATCCTGAAAGAACAGATTCTGTCCATCAATGTTTGATCCACAGCGATTATTATTATTATTATTATTAGAGCATGAGCTGGTATCTACTCACATCGAGAGCTTTTACTGGCTTTGTGTTGGAAGAAGAGACCTCAGAATAAGTGACATCATCGGTCTGCTCCTAAACATCAATGCAAACATGCAGAGAGTCGAGTTTAACACACAGAACAGACATTTCTCTGACTGTAAAATAATTATATTGATTGCCTTTGTCCCATCAGAGCCAATCAGACATGTTTCCCAGATAGCAAACTGACATTGAATCAACGTGGAAATATGACATCGAAACAACGTTGATCTGACATTGTTTTGCTCATCGAATTAACGTTGAACCAACGTCAGACGCGTCATTCTTTCAAAACTAACGGAAAATCAACTTGAAATCAACGCGTTGTTTCAACGTTATGAAAGCAAACCAATCTTCGATTTTCATTTAGCTTTTAAGAATGCCGCGTCTGACGTTGGTTCAACGTTAATTCGATGAGCAAAATCAATGTTGTTTCGATGTCATGAGAGACGTCGTTTCCACGTTGATTCAATGTCAGTTTGCTGTCTGGGTTTTGATACAGTTGGGCCTAGTGTTTTAAATATAATAAGTTCTCATTCAGCTCATTCAGAGTTTTTGAAAAGTTTCGGTCTGGTTTTAGGGAACATCACAGTACAGATCTGCACTTTTAAAGGTTATTAATGAGGTTTTAATGACGGTTGATTCTGGAAATGCTGCAGTTTTGGTGTTACTCGATTTGATACCGTAGTCCAGGGGTTCTCAAACATTTTGGTGCCAGGGACCCCTTTCAGGGGAAAAAAAATTCCAAGGACCCCCCTCATATTTATAACAGTTATTGAGCACAAAGTTAATGTGTGAGCGGCAAATGAAATATTTTTGCACAAAATGAATGGTCTCCACCCAGGGTACTATGCAGGAATTTCTAAATAGCCTACTGAGGTAACGAAAGTGATCTTGCTAGGAATCACGTAAGATCCCTCACTTAGGAATTTTTGATGTTCTTGATCTACACATGTGCATTTTAAGGTGTTTTAAGGCCCCACAATTGGATAACTATAGATTTAGTAGTCAGTCAGTGGCATACATTTTTTTTTTTTTTTTGTCAAGATGTCACGAAACACAATCACATATTCCAATCAGGAATGGCCTTAAAAGAGAAATGTTTCAATAATTAGGCCTATTCTGCACACAAATAAAGCCCATAAGCCTATAAATACAATGATAATGGCATTATGTTTAATAGGTGCGTGCGTTGTTAATTTGAGCTACTGTAATTAGCTAAAAAAAAACATACAGTATATGTTAAATATATGAATCCATAATGTTAATCTCATGGGCACAGTATGTTTCTATTGACCTGCTTTTTCCTTTGTTAAAGTTGAGCTTGATTAATACTTTGCAAACTGATTGTTTCAGTCGTTTTTTAAAACTTTTATCTAAAACAGCTGTTTAGTTTATGTTAATTAAGGCCTACATCTTTTCTCGCACTTTATGACCGTTGACTGAAACGTCGTGCGGGGAACTTTGAGTTCACTCCGACTCAAACATTTTGACATTGACGAGCTATCGTTGTTAGTCTGCTGAAGCACCTCAGACGAGAAGGTCAGTATCATCGCGATGTGCATCCTTGCAACCTCAGTTGTGGGTACGGCCCTGTCACTATGCACTTTTATTTTGATAATGATCAGACTTCTAATGTCAAATCTACAGTAGCAGTGCTAGAACTGACTATTGTGCGAGCACGCGAGACGCCGGTGTTGTGCCTAATTTCGACCCCCTGCCAAATTATTACCCCCCTCGTTGAAGTCAGTACCTGATTGCCTAATCCCAACCCCGCCCCTAATCTTAACCCCTCCCCCACAACTAATCCTAAACCTACCAATACTAGGGGGGTAATAATTTGGCGGGGGTCGAAATTCGGCACAACACCGGCGCGCAATTACATGGGAATTTTTCCTCAGCAGTGGAAACAGGAATACTCTTATTTATGGTCATAGATAAGACAAGAGTGCATCATCCGAAACGGTAAAGTGTCCATTTTTTTATTTGTGTATAGGCTACATTATAAATGACTACAAAATGTCATGCCTTTTAAAAATACAGAAAAGAACCGGATGCGGGTTCATGCCGTCTCTCTGTCTCCTTTCTGGCGCACGTCCCGCAAAATCAACAGCAGCGAATAGTCTTCTTGACGCAAAGACATAGATTATCTATCTATAGAAAACTTTAAGTGTCTACTTTGTATTGTTTTATGTTAAATGCTTTATATAAGTTACTTAGGAATAAACAGCATGTTTTCAGATGATAAAGAAAACATGACTCATAGCATGAAAAAAACGTTAAGTTGTAAATTATTTCGCGGACCCCCTGGCTTTAGCTCGCGGACCCACTTTGAGAACCACTGCCGTAGACCATGAAATTCTTTTTGCACGGCTGGAGAGGTTGGCAAGGATGCGACGTTAGTTTAAGTCCTATTTAACTAACAGAAGTTTTTCAGTCCCCGTAGGGGAATTTACATCTTCGTCTGCCCCTCTTAAATGTGGGATATCCCAGGGCATGTCCAAACATCTCAAGGACACCAAAAACACCTTCAACCCCAGAGGGTTAATCACATTATTGAACAGACAGTGAACATAATATTTGATGATTTAGAGACTCACATCGGCTCTTGCAGCAGGAGGAATGGACATGTTGATCGTCTCATACGTCTCTTTATGTTCATCTTCATCTTTGACCTTCAGACAACAAACAATTAAACTTCATGAATGACACTTTATTGAGCTTTAAAGACTAATCAAATCTAAATCACTGCATTACTGAACTCACCGCAGAGTCGCCAGTCCCTCTTTTATTATCTGAAAACAAGTGCATCATGAAATTAAATCAGATTTTGTTGAAGCATTAAAAATGAATGATAAAAATGATTGACTTGATAACTCGATGAGATTGACCAGTATCAGGAATAAACTTCTGTTTGAGAATTGAATATACTGTAATCCACATGTACTTCCAGTCTGAACATGATGTGTTTGTTTGCTCATCTGAACTGTTTTTAATTGTTGTAAAGGAGTAAATCTGAATCTCACCAGCTGTTTTTCTGCAGATCAGCCAGAGAAGAGCAAGAAGGAGAACAGCGACTGCAGCGACAGAAATCCCTATGACTGAAGAAGAGATCGAGCTCAGAGTCACAGACGGACAGGCCAGACTGAGGACAATTATAGACAAAAGCCATCGACACCGGATGAGATTTCAGATGATTCTGATCTTCCTCTGACTGTAGATTAATGACCCAAGATTTATTTATTGTTCATTGCTCTTCTTTCAAGAAACAAAATTAACAAGTCAACTCAACTCTTACATAATGATTATATAATATAAGGTACAGTGTCTTGTCTATAGCGTTATTCATTCATATTTTCTACAGAATTATTTTAGACAAAGCTGTTCTGTGAATAACATCATCTATAACTTACAGTAAAAGCATCAGGATCATCATGTACCTTGTGTAGAAGTTTGTGGTGTGTTTGTTGTTGAAGGAGATTGAGAGAGTGTGATGTGGGCTGTATTCACTGCTGTCGTTGAATCAGCTTGAGCTGTAAAAGAGGAATGTTGGTTCAGATGATTCAGGGGTTCAAACTATCTGGAGATAGGGACCCCTCACAGGGCAGAAAAAAATCCAAGGACCCCCTCATAACCGCAACACAAATGTAATAAAAGTGTGTGTGTGTGTCTGTGCGTGATGAGTGTATGTGTGTGTGTGTGTGTGTGTGTGTGTGTGTGTGTGTGTGTGTGTGTGAACCTCTGTTCTGGCCCCTCAGACTCTGATCCTGACTCACCCTCATCTTCTCCCTCCTTCCGGCTGCTGGACTCTTCATCATCATTCTCCTCATCTTCCTCTTCTTCTTCCTCAGTGCCAGAGCCTGACAAAACACACACACACACACACACACAATCAACTCACATCTAACACAACTCAGCAAAAGAGAGAGAGAGAAACAGAGAGAGAGAGAGAGAGAGAGAGAGAGAGAGACACAGAGAGAGAGAGAGATGTACCCAGTGATGACGGCTCAGGTGTGATGGTCTTCCTCTCACTGTCCTGCAGATCAGACAGAAGATCTGCATCCTTCATCTTTCCCTCTTGCACTGTAAATAACCAACGCATTCTCATCGGACGCTTTTGCAAAAGCGTAAATATCCAACGCACATGGCACCCTTTAACGTCTAATGAGATGCTTCGGTTATGGTTAAGTTTAGGTATGGTGTAGGGTTAGGGTTAGACCACTAGGGGGCGCCTTCTGCCCAAATATATCTGCGTCTCATTTTACGTTAAAGGGTGCCATGTGCGTTGGATATTTACGCTTTTGCAAAAGCGTCCTATATGGCGCTTTGGGATGAGAACGGGCTCAAATAACACATACACACACACACACACACACACACACACACAATCAACTCACATCTAACACAACTCAGAGAAAGAGAGAGAGAGACACAGAGAGAGAGAGAGATGTACCCAGTGATGATGGCTCAGGTGTGATGGTCTTCCTCTCACTGTTCTGCAGATCAGACAGAAGATCTGCATCCTCCATCTTTCCCTCTTGCACTGTAAATAACACACACACACACACACACACACGCATATATATATATATATATATATATATATATATATATATATATATATAAAGTATATATATATACAGGATAAGTGTAGTGCTAAAATATAAAATGTATATATATAAAATATATAAGTGAGGTTTACTCGCACAGCAACTACTAGCTGGCCTCCGTTACATTTGTATGCCAAATTAAGTCATGTGTTTTATATTAAACAGTCTATCAGACTATTTTTTGATATTCTATATTAATACGTCATTACACGGCTATATTAAACGCTATTAGATTATCCTCATCTTATCCATTGGGAGTGTCATTGTTAAGGCAGTAGTACCAATAAATAACCAATAGGTGTCAGTAAACTTTGTAAACCTGTTTTTAATAAACACATTTAATTAAGATTTTCTGCAAAATGCAATAGCTTACCACATTTATAAATGTTTAAATTAAGAGCAAGAAGGCTAATGTACTTTCCCAAACTGTCATTAATAGAGGAAATAATTGGAAAAAGAGGTGAAATATTATTATAATTTAATAATGTCTAACTCTAAAGAGTCTGCTGTAGACAAATTAAACACATGGAGGAAAGACATTCAACACAAGAAGAAATAGAGGAATTTGAATGGACTGAAGCATGTTTAAAGGCGCAAAAACAAATTATAAACACACAGCTTAAAGAGCCCCTATCATGGAGTTTTGAAAATGACTGTTCATATGGTGTGGAATATAGCTCTAAGGGAATGAAAACAAAAACTTTTTTTTTAATTACATTTATCTCCTAAAATGTATGCTCACTCATTGCATTTTTACAATGGGGTAATTTTGTTCTTAAGAATTTACACACAAGGAAGCTTGATTTCAATCTTTGAATTAAATTGAAAAAAGTAGAACAAAAAAAATACAATAGAATAAAGATACCTGTAAAGAGAAAAGTTTTCGCTGGTCTGACACCAGTATTCAGAAATAGTACTACAGAGACTGAATAAAGTAATCAAATGTAAAATAACACTGGGTAGTGTTTTAGTCCTGAGAACTAAATTAAATACATAGGATATTATTCCTGAGTCCTTAAAATGAAAGCAATGTTTCGTTGTTTTGACAACCAAATTAATGACAGACCATGGCTGCTGTCACTGTAAGAGCTCGTGCACAGATCCTGTAACCACTAACATTATACGGTCAAGTGCGATGTATGCTTATTTAAGAAATAACCGACTGTGTTTAGAGGATACACACCAGTCATCAAGACTGAAATTGACATTTTCGCATGTTTTTGACTGTTGGGAATATAATCCACGAAAAATAACTGTTGTTACCCGCGAGCTTGTGAGGCGGCTTGAATGTGTGCAGAAAAAAACATCTCTCAGACAGCGCGCAAGTAGCCTACCGAATAGTTCAAGATCACGTGAATGTTAAAACTGGTAAGATTTACGACCCGCAAACGGTAAACTCCAACTCATGATGCAATGCTGGCCCATGCAAATGACAATTGAGGCTATTGAGAATGTTGAACACATCCACCAGATAGGCCAATTTGGCAACATAGACGGGGTCAGAACGGGCTCAGAAACTCTGACGTCTCGCTGCGTAGCTCGAACACCCGCTGAAGCACCTTCCCACGGGAGAGCCACCTCACTTCACGATGGTAAAGAAGTGTGTCATTGCCTGCGTCCATCTCCCGACAAACGAACGTGACTGGAATGCCCTCGACTGAACGAAATGAACTGCTGTCACAGCTGTGCTCAACAAGTGCAGGTCTGGTTCCAAACCTTTGGAGGCGAGTGCTTGTCGGTGCAGCATACAGTGGACAGATTTCACTCTGGGGTTTACTGCCTTTATCCGAGCAACAAGACCGCTATTTCTGTCCGTCATTGCTGCAGCTCCATCTGTACAAACGGCCACACATTTCCCCCAACTCAGCTCATGAAACTCGATCAATAAACTCATTTAGGATCTTGAAAATCTCCTCGCCCGTTGTCCTGCCCGGGACCTCTTTGCAGAACAAGAAGTCCTCCAGAATGGATCCATGATCCTAGGGGTAGCGGACGAGAGCGATTAGCTGTGCTGCACTACCACATCAGTAGAAGGGAAAATTCCAAAGGGGTAATCCATCGACCGGAAGTTGAAGCCTCGCGGGAGCTGCCATCTTGTAGCAGAACTTCACTTGCGTTAGCATTCCCATTGACTCCCATTCATTTTGGCGTCACTTTGACAGTGAATAACTTTACATCTGAGGCGTTTGAAGACCCCATTTGTCCTTTATTTATTTCTAAAGAAACACGACAATGTATAAAATTCTCCATTACCTTGTAGCTTATGCTATGGCCCCGTAGAAGCAGTTTTAGTGAAAGTAGGCTAACGATTGCGTCATACCCACGCGACTCTCTGTCGCACAGTAGAGAGATTACCGTATGGACAGGAGGAGAATCTTGCGCGCAATCAGGGAAACGTGGAGGCAAAATGACAAAATAATTAAATCAGAATACCTAGCAAAAGTTTCTCCTGCTCCTCGCTCATGGACAGCTCCTATTCACACTCTCCGCCTCTGCATGTTTCGGAAGGGAATGATTCAGATTTCTCATGCCACAGGCTAAGACAGACGGGTCACTCACGTCACATCTACGTCGTCAAGCTCTGTTTGAGTCTGTGCGTCAGGGACGGAAGTGCTAAAAAATCGCCAAAAATGGGCTTCAATCGTCTCAATGGAGTTCCAATGAGATGGCTCTGTCCATTTCTATTACTGTCTATGGAAAATTCACAGCAACAAAGTCTCCCCACAAGTTGTGATAAGATGTCATCGGCCAGGTTACCAATCCTCCGGCTCACAGGGTCATCAGAGAAGGGTATGCTTTTTAATTTATTTGCTGCCTCTGTCCCGACATTATCTCGCACATATCGACTGCTGCTGGGAGGACCAGCTCTTCTGCGATTGAATGAGGCTTCTTGCATTTTACTATTCGCTGAGCTACTAAAAGAGAAGCCTTCTGTGCTTTCTTAGATGTTGTGGCCAGATTAGTCAGTTTTGTTTGCTGGTGGCGATACCCTTCGCTTTTTTGGACGAAGAATTCCCTTGGTTTACCCATATACTCCGGGTTCTTGGTTACGAGGTGCCGCTTTAGTTTAGCCGGTTTCATCGCTTCATTTGCTAACACCTGAAGACACACGACGCACATCGGCTTCCCATCGCTGTTCTCAATAAATCCATAATTAACCTTTTTAAATATGTATCCATTGTGGATTCTTCCCAGTGGTATATTATAGGAACGGTTAGGCTACTTTGTTTTCAGATTGACGTAATGTAACAACAGAGTTTCTATTGGCCAAAAGTTAACACGGGGGTTACACAATGCGCCTGTTTAATTGGCTTCTTATTTTCATTTATTTATTTATTATCTGTGAGATGTGAAGTTAAAGCTTCAGGTAAATGTTTCGGTAGATTGACGTAATGTAAAAGCCAAATGTTCATTGGTCTAACGTTACACACGCAGGAGTAATGACGATGGGCCCTGCACTTTCTCCGGGTATGTTTATATTTTATGTCAAGCTTTCCAGGCAGTGCCCCTAGGGGTCCGTGGACCCCACTTTGAGAACCACTGTGTACAATATTACCATTATATTTTAACTTTGATCGTCACATTATAAAAAGTTTAATTTTTTGCTGTCACGTTTCAATTCCTTTATTATTCCAGCATCTCTTTTGGGACTGTGACTTCACTGCAGTTCATTAGTTTGAAGCGAAGCTTTGAGTTTCTCTTCTGTGAGAGTCAAAGCAGCTTTTGTTCCCTCAGTTTGTTCTGGTTCAGTGATACTGATAGACCTCAGTGTTCCTGACATCATGAGGATCTTTAACAGTGTTTCTCACCTGAATACTTGACAGTGTATGTGACTGACGTCTGGAGTTGATTTCTGTGAGTAAGCTGACATCTCCACTCTCTGTTGTTATCTTCATCCAGGAGTGTTGTAGTCAGAGTGATGATACAGCGATGTGGAGATGATGATGATGATGATGATATCTGATATCTGGAGTCTGTCTTCAGATCAACACCAGCCTGATTCACCCACAACAGCTCAACTCCCTCAGAACGAACCAAATAATCACAGGGGGATCCACTATATGAATACAACTGACAGGAGAGAGTCACAGAGCGGCCTGAACTGACCTCAGTCTGTGAGGATGAAGATGATGATGATGATGGAGACACTGAAACTGAACACAAGACAAAAATAACAGACTCTTATTAATTACTTACAAAGCACTAAATGGTTTATCTCTGCAGTACTTGAGCGAGCTCTTAACGGATTATACCCAGCTAACAGAATTTTGTTATAAGAACGTTGTCTAAATATTCAGTGTTGGTTCTATAATGTTCCTCAGACGTTCATTAAACGTAATTTTCGATTAAAAATTCAACATGATAGTAATGTTGACTTCTAACATTACTAACATAAAAATGTCCAGTTTCCTGATTGTTACTACACAGCAAAAACTCAAGAATGTTAAAGACTCAATAGTGTTAAAGTGTTAAAATTTGAGTGTTAAACACTGGTGACAATAATAAAGCATGTTACAGTGCATTCTGGGTGCCACCAATCAAAACTCATTCATAGCTCCCATCATACATTGCGGTGTGAATAAATTACGATCTGAATTGTCTTACGAATCTCCTTTTCCTAATCGAATATTCTTTTCGTCACCATTGTGGAGATTCATACACTGAATCTAAATGTCAGTGTGTGCCTGAGAAAATTATATTTTTTGTTTTGTTTATCAGAACAACTTTTAAGAAATCATTAATTTTATATTGAAAAACCTGGAATTTATACGGTTAAATCACTTTGATTCTGCAATGACCAATATACATTCTAACCAGAGATTAGGACTACTTGAGTTCATTGAATCAGGTCATATGATTGTGAAATAATGATTACATTTTAAGATAACCAACATCATCAGATCACTTTTTCACTTTGTTCATCTGGCTGTCATAACTTATGTACGGCAGCCAAACAAAATCTAAAGTTGAACATGTCAACTGCCCAAAAGGTCAACTGCCCAACTAAAGCAAACACTGATCTCCATAACGGTGACTAAAATTTGAGTTTTCTTCTTCAGTGATTCTGCTTGTTATCATCAGGTGTCTTCAATAATGCTCAATCATCACTCAATCGATAACTTAATTAGCACATTAACTTTAACATTCTTAAGTGTTTATTTAACACTCTGATTTTAACACATTTACACTCTTGAGTCTTTAACACTCTTGAGTTTTTGCTGTGTAGTAACATTCAAGAAAATGGAAATTTTTATGTTCTTGGAATATTAGAAATCAACATTACTATCATGTTGAATTTTTAATTGAAAATTACGTTTAATGAACGTTTGAGCAACATTATGCCTTTTAAAACACATTCCTCTAACGTCAAGAAAACTGGACATATTTTACGTTACCAGAATCAACAATGAATATTTAGACAATGTTCTTATAACAAAATTCTGTTAGCTGGGTAGTCCTTCACGTCTATTGCGATCTCAAAACTCCGGCCAGTTGATAATACCTAGAATATATAAATCGACTGCTGGCGGGAGATCCTTTTCCTATTTAACACCAAAACTCTGGAACAATCTTCCTAACATTGTCCGGGAAGCAGACACACTCTGTCAGTTCAAATCTAGACTAAAAACACATCTCTATGGCCTAGCAGACACATAACACACTATAGACTTCTATAATTCAATGTTCGGCTGCATAGTTTAGATCAGCCGGAAGTGGGAACACGTCCCGTAAATCCTGATGTACTCGTTTCATCATAAGAAGGATGGCATCTACGCTAATATTAGTCTATCTGTTTATCCCGAGGTTTACCGCAGTATCCAGATCTGAGGAAGGACCAGCGCCTGGACACACACACACGAATGAACAGCCGGAGCACGTTGAGGGTTTTCTGTTAGAACGGTGTCGTGTAAGTTAAGTTAATAACTAATGATTGCTGCGACAGAAGTGAATCAATTAAAACTTTAGCTGGACAATAACTTTATTCTAGAGCTGCTGTAAAGCCAAAACAATGTTACTGTAATTTCCTTGTATCACTGTTGTCATGATGTGGGTTTGTGTCCTGTCATGTTCTATAATTCCCTGTCTTGTCTATTAGTTATCCCAGGTGGTTCTGATTTCCCACGCCGCCTTGTTCTCTTGTGTAGCTCGTTTGTTGATTATTTAAGCCCTGTGTTTCAGCCTTGTCTTTGTGAGTTCTTGTTTAACGTCGAATGGTTAACGGTAAAGTTGGTTGTTCCCGTATGCTGTTCCTGAGTCCCGAGTCTTATGTCCAGTCTAGTCTGTTTAAGTTTGTAGTCTGTTAAATAAAGCGTGTGCTGCACTTGGATCCAGCCTTATCCTTGCTTCAAGGATACTTTTACTTTCTGTAAAGCTGCTTTGAAACAATATGTATTGTGAAAAGCGCTATAGAAATAAATCTGAATTGAATTGAATTCAACCGCACCATCGTCACAACTGTAAAGCTGCTTTGAAACAATCTATATTGTTAAACGCACTATATAAATGAGACTTGACTCATAAATCATCATCTGAGTTTAAAGGGAGAATTTTTAATTGACCATATAATCATAAACTTACCATGAAGAACATGCAGATAAACACGTGTATCAGTTCCTTGTTTCTGGTGTTTTCCATTCACTTCTATCCATTGTTGGCAGGTGTAATATCCATAATCTCCTTCTGTGACGTTCTTGATGTTCAGAGAGCAGTCAGACTCCAGACTCAGTCTCTCATGTCTCTCTGTGTCTTTCTTTATCCCTAAATTAATCAGTTCAACTCCTGCTGAATGTCTGAATCTGTTATAGTAGATCCATGATGTTGATTTGCAGTCAGAAAGAGCATTATTACAGGACAGACGGACATTTACACCAGAACTGATGAACACATGATCATCATCCACTCCACTGGTGCCTGAAACACAGTAGATCTCAGTGATCATTATGATATTTAATAATAAATTAAAACATAAAACATACCAGCATAACAAGCAAACGATTAGTATTTCTCCTCATTTAAAGCAATCAACACACTCTCCAGAATAAACTATGAGTGTTTATCAGAGAGCTGTTCAAATCACTGACACACTCTTAATATGAAGATCATTCTTCATCATCAGATGTTTGAGTGACACTATGTCCAGTATCAGGAATAATACAGTATGATCTGTGTGTATCAATACACAACTCTGAGATCACAACGTGAATGTGTGCAAGAATAAACTGAGCATGTTCAAATCAACTCTTTCCAGACTAATTCCACTAAATGTGTTTAGAGAAAATACAGATTTCTTTACCTGTGAGAAGTGAAGAGAGAATGATCAGTCCCAGCAGACACAGATCACACTGATCAGACATTTCTGCTTCTGTCCGTTTCTCTCCGTCTTCCTCCTTATTATATATAAGTATAGCTCTTCCTTTAAACATCATCAGCTCCTCCTCTGGTTATTATCTTTGGTTATTAATTCTGCTAGAGTTGCTATAGTGACAGTGACGTGTTGCTTTAAGTGTGTGTGAAAGGTCTGAGAAGTGCATACACTGTTAACCGCACTGGCTCAACACACATCTGATCTGAACAGTTTATATCTACTTTTGCACACGAGAGCATTACTGTTAGTTTCACTTCTTTATTTTAGCAGTTTCCCGCATGACTTTAAAATCTAGAAATAAATTAATGGCATCATTAGTAATAAAATTAGATTTCTTCTTCCACTATCCGTGACTCACTCGTAGAAAATGAACTCTAAAACAGTTTTTAAGGTATTTTGATGATCATCATCAGTTCAACTGAGTTTCATCACGTCTCTTACTGTCCACAGTAATGATGGTCTTCTGTGTCGGTCAGTCAGGTTTGTTTGGACTCTATTGACTCTATCGTAATGATATAAGCTCTAAAGCTTCTTCGTGTGTGTGTTCGTGTTAACGCTGGCATTGAGAACTAACACACACACACACACACACTGTCAGTAGTTAAGGTGGACGAGTGTGAACTGACACATTCAGAAAACAGCTCATCTTCTTTTCTACAACTGAATTGCTCAACTTTTTTATCTTGTTTTTCAATGTGAGGAGTTGAAGCGTGCCTGCTCAGGTGTGTGTGCAACTGGAAAAGGGGTCATTAGCCATGCTAGGAGTGGATAAACGCTGTCTCCCAATACTATGCCATTTGGTCGGTGGGATTGAAGCTCCCCGCACTGTAAAAATGAAAATGACTGAATCTGTTAAATCTAATCAATAAAATTGAGGCAACAGATTACAATCAATATTATTAATTAAATGTAACAAATTAGAATGGAGTAATAATCAACCAAACAAATTAATTAAAAGTTAACCATATAAATTAAGTAAAATTTACAAATTTTTCTAAACAAAAATATCGGAATAACAGACTGACGTCAAAGATGAATTAAGAACTCTTTTTTTTCATTGCCATCATTGAAGACACCTGATGATAACAAGCAGAATCACAGAAGAAGAAAACCGAGATTTTTAAGTCACCATTATAGAGATCAGTCTGTGTTTTAGTTGGGCTCTTGACCCTTAAATTGTTAACTTTAGATGTTGTTTGGCTGTTATACATGAATTATAATAGCCTGATGAACAAATTGAAAAGGTGATCTGATGGTGTTATAAAAAGATAACTTCAGAAGTTATTTCATGCATGCACACACAGACATCAAGAATTAGCGTATGAATCTCAACAATGGTGACAAACAGATCACCTCTGATCATAAACTCATTATTTATTCATGCAGCAATGCATGATGGGAGCCATGAATGAGTTTTGATTGGTGGCACCCAGAATGCACTACAACATGCGCTATTATTGTCACCGTTGTTGAGATTCACAGGCTAATTATAGATCTCTGTGTGTCTAAAAACTGAATCAGAGCAAAGTTGTTGTTTTTTGTATTTGATATACGTAAAAAAAATCTATGGATTACCTTGTAATAATCATAAAAATATTATACTGTTCAAGGACATTGCTGCAACAATGAATGAAGTAAACCTAAACTGAACTCTATATGAGTTCATTGATCAGGTCAAATGATTGTGAAATATTGATTATGGTAAAACATAACCATCACCATCAGATCACCTTTTCTATTTGTTCATCAGGCTTTTATAATTCATGTATAACAGCCAAACAACATCTAAAGTTAACAATTTAAGGGTCAAGAGCCCAACTAAAACACACACTGATCTCTATAATGGTGACTTAAAAATCTCGGTTTTCTTCTTCTGTGATTCTGCTTGTTATCATCAGGTGTCTTCAATGATGGCAATGAAAAAAAAAGAGTTCTTAATTCATCTTTGACATCTATAGCTCTGTTCTCAAAATAGGTTAAAACGCTGATAAAGCAGATTTCAGGAAGTGTCTAGAGACTGCAAACATGGTGTCGAAATGTTCAGCTGGTGACTAGTTTATTGTCTGTGTGAATCGAAACATTCAGACTTTCACATCAGAACTATTAGGATAAACTTCAGCTTACAAATATGTATATTTTGTTCTCAAATTCAAATCTACAAGCTCTCGAATTTTGCTACTCTTTAACCTTCATTCAAGTATTCATTTAAAACATGAAACTTTCAGCTTACAAGAGCAAGTTTAGTTATGTGTGTTTTTACAGGAATGGAAGAGACGAAAACTTTCCCCTTTTTCATGCTCTTTATTGTCACATGTAAAAAAATAAAGAAATAACTCATATTTAATTTCTTGTCATGTACAAAATGCAAAGTCAAAGTTTCGAATATCTTATGAAAATATAATGTGAGCAAACACTGATGTAATTCTCAGACGGACGACTCTCGATAAAAGAAGCAGCTGATATACAAGCTGAACGCAGGACGATCATGTGCGCAAGGTTAAAGCTCTGTGTGTGTGTGTGTGTGTGTGTGTGTTAATTGTAATATTTGGTATGTTTGTGTGCTGTTTCCGTCCCTGTGTGTGTGTAATAAGCAGATTGTGTGAGTTGTGGACCCTCCTGTAGGCACACATTACTAACGGACTCTTTAAATAACAAAAAAATACTGCGCCATTGACTTTAAACAGGTTTTTGTTGGTCAACGGCTCAGTCTATTTCATTTTCCTCAAAATAGCAACGCGCCTGAACACACACCTCGTTCTCAGTCCAGCAGCCCATGGGCGCAAATGCATTTACTTGTTGTTGTTCACAGTGGCGTAAAGTTGATCCTGCGGTTTATCTTCTCTTCCTCTGATGGCAGCGTAAGTCACTGTATCATTATGATCCTGAAAGAACAGATTCTGTCCATCAATGTTTGAACCGCAGCGATTATTATTATTATTATTAGAGCATGAGCTGGTATCTACTCACATCGAGAGCTTTCACTGGCTTTGTGTTGGAAGAAGTGACCTCAGAATAAGTGACATCATCTGTCTGCTCCTAAACATCAATGCAAACATGCAGAGAGTCGAGTTTAACACACAGAACAGACATTTCTCTCACTAAAATATGTAGAATAACACAAACGCGAACGTAATATTTGATGATTTAGACTCACATCGGCTCTTGCAGCAGGAGGAATGGACATGTTGATCGTCTCATACGTCCCTTTATCTTCATTCTCATCTTTGACCTTCAGAATAAACAGTTAAACTGCATGAATGACACTTTATTGAGCTTTAAAGACTAATCAAATCTAAATCACTGCATTACTGAACTCACCGCAGAGTCACCAGTCCCTCTTTTATTACCTGAAAACAAGTGCCTCATGAAATTAAATCAGAATTTGTTGAAGCATTAACATGAATAATAAAAATGATTGACTTGATAACTCGATGAGATTGACCAGTATCAGGAATAAACTTCTGTTTGAGAATTGAATATAATCCACATGTACTTCCAGTCTGAACATGATGTGTTTGTTTGCTCATCTGAACTGTTTTTAATTGTTGTAAAGGAGTAAATCTGAATCTCACCAGCTGTTTTTCTGCAGATCAGCCAGAGAAGAGCAAGAAGGAGAACAGCGACTGCAGCGACAGAAATCCCTATGACTGAAGAAGAGATCGAGCTCAGAGTCACAGACGGACAGGCCAGACTGAGGACAATTATAGGCAAAGGACTGTGATTATGAACCTGTGATTGTAGTCAAATTATCCTGAGAGTTTGTGCCTGTTATTGGTGTATCAGCTTGAGCTGAAAAGGATGATTGAGGACAATTATAGACAAATACAAAAGCCATCGACACCGGATGACATTTCAAATGATTCTGATCTTCCTCTGTAGATTAATGCGCCAAGATTTATTTATTGTTCATTCCTCTTCTTTTAAAAAACAAAATTAAAAAGTCAACTTTAGTTTAATAAATTTGATCATCACATTATAAAAAGTTACATTTTTGCTGTCCAGTTTCAATTCCTTTATTATTCCAGCATCTCTTTTGGGAGTGTTACTTCACTGCAGTTCATTAGTTTGAAGCAAAGCTTTGAGTTTCTCTTCTGTGAGAGTCAAAGCAGCTTTTGTTCCCTCAGTTTGTTCTGGTTCAGTGATACTGATAGACCTCAGTGTTCCTGACATCATGAGGATCTTTAACAGTGTTTCTCACCTGAATACTTGACAGTGTATGTGACTGACGTCTGGAGTTGATTTCTGTGAGTAAGCTGACATCTCCACTCTCTGTTGTTATCTTCATTCAGGAGTGTTGTAGTCAGAGTGATGATGATGATACAGCGATCTGATGATGATGATGATGATGATGATGATGATATCTGATATCTGGAGTGTGTCTTCAGATCAACACCAGCCTGATTCACCCACAACAGCTCAACTCTCTCATAATGAACCCAATGATTACAGGAGAATCCAGAATTCAACTGACAGGAGAGAGTCACAGAGCGGCCTGGACTGATCTCAGTCTGTGAGGATGAAGATGAAGATGATGATGGAGACACTGAAACTGAACACAAGACACAAATCACAGACTCTTGTTGATTACTTACAAAGCACTAAATGGTTTAGCTCCACAGTACTTGAGCGAGCTCTTAACACAAAAGTAGATATCCATAAATCCAAAAAAAAAATGTAATTTTAAGAAAGAGCAGTAAATGACGGTACATGATAAACCAAAATGTATTGTTTGTTCAGAAGTGGGTGTAGTAAAGGAGTAAATTAACACAATTTGATACTCATGCAGAAAAATTATGACCATGATATTTTTTGCTAAGTTAAGTAGTTCACTTAAAAAAAAAAAAAAACTTTTGCTGATAATTTACTCACCCCCATGTCATCCAAGATATCCATGTCATTCTTTCTTCAGTCGAAAAGTAATTATCTTTTCTTTATCAAAATGAACGAATCTTTTTTCGTGTCATTTGGTTTACTCAACGAAATTCTTTATAATGAAGTTGTCTGTATTAAAGGAGTAGTTCACTTTTAAAAAAACTTTTGCTGATAATTTACTGATAAACTCCCCCCCCCCCATGTCAACCAAGATGTCCATGTCATTCTTTCTTCAGTCGAAAAGAAATTAAGGTTTTTGATGAAAACATTCCAGGATTTTCTCCATATAATGGACTTCAATGGGAACCAAACGGTTCAAGGTCCAAAAGACACTTTTAGTACAAACTGTTCAAAGGGATTTAAACGATTCCAGACAATGAATAAGGGTCTTATCAAGCGAAACAGTCGTATTGGACTGTTTTTGAAGCTGCTACCACCGGTTGCTTGAAGTTTCAAGATTCAGTTAAGATTCTCTATCCGGGTCACAGCACCATCTGTAGTGAACTTTCAGGTATGAACGTATGAACGCAACGTTTATGTATAAACGTTGCGTACGCACAAAATGGGCATAGAAATATGCGTACGCATTTTTCCACGCGCACATCAGGATTTATAAAAAATAAACTTGGCATAAATAAGTGCGCACCGTAAGGATGCTCTTGACCGTGCGTACGCACTCTTTTAGAAGAGTGTGTGTTTTGGCGACACCGATGTTGAGCTGGAGTTAAGTGTCTTTTTGGTCACTATTAGACAGAGAATCTAAAGAAAATTATACATTTACAGAAATATAATCCAAATTTAAAATGTAAATTTAAAATCCAAATATTTAATTTTAATTTAATTTAAAATCCAAATATAATTTCACAAACCTATCCTCACTTGCAGCAAACATCCATCCCTTCTTAAATGACCGCGCCAGCACGCGCGTTGGGCCGTTTGGTGAAACTGACGCACATATAGCCTATAATCTAACGGCAGATGGAGTAAAAGCGTAAATCTTCATTATGAGTCCAAATCATAAATACAGTCCATATTCACAATAACAGTTTAAATAAATAAAAGAATGATTTAAACTATGTTTTACTTCTGATATAAACATTTAGCGTAGATTAAATATGCCATTCTCATTAATGGAGTTAAACACTTAAACTACATGAAATCATTACTGAGAAGTTACAAAAAATATATTCAATAAATAGAAATAGACCTATTTGTTTTGGATGCAATGCTTTTGAACACTTTTATTCTAGCATGCTGTGTTTTAATGTTTTAACTAGAGATAATTGCTAATCATGATAATAGCAGATTGTCTGAGAAAATGGCCAGTGGAAAAGATTGAGAAAAACTTTCTCTGAAATGTATTTAACAGTAATTGATTTATTTATTCAAAAACAATACAATGATATAGGCTACTAAAAAAAAATTATGTTTGTAATAATGTGACGGTAGTACATCCGCATTTCATATTTTCCTAACGTCTTGTACCATTAAACTTGGTATCACGTGGATATATAATCATATGCAAATGATATGCAGATGAGGATATGCATAGTAAAATTAGGCGTTGTAATCTCCATATATGGTTATTTCGGGGTGGAGACGCATCTCCCGCTGGCTGGGATTTATAAAGTGAATTTTGCGCAGGTTCTGGTGTACGAACGGTTTTGTAAATCTGAAAACTTTTGTGCGTACGCACACTTTAAGGATGAAATCTACGCAAAGTTTAATACATGAGGCCCCTGGAGACTCGGGCTGTATCTTAAGCAGGATTCTTTATTGAGAACAGGAGCTGTTGGTAGCTGTAGTCAACGAAATCTCGTCTTGAGTTTAACTAAGCACCATACCATTGCAACTAAATATGCATGTTTAAGGGGGAGGAATTTACAGAGAGGAGGAAACTAGCGACAAAGCATGGTAACAACGTAGGTGTTATCTTGTTACCAAACCTTTCCCAGGTCTGCTCTCATCAGCATAACCGTTATTCAGGAAATTGAGGCTAATCCCATCAGCCTGACTAGATTGCTCAACCATTACCACTATCATAGAGACAAAAGCATAGCTGCATCTTGAACTTAATGGTCAGGAAGTGCATAAAGACAAAAGCTAACGTCCAACACCTGGAATGCTTGGCTTAATCTTCTAGGCCTCAAAATGGTAAACACTGTATGCATTTTTTTCAGGTAAAATACTGTGGAATCTAAATTAAACATTTAATAAATTTGTATTCCTTCAATTTCCATGACGTATTCATGTTCGGCAAGTGCACCCGATTTTTTTTTCAAGCTTCTTGTCCTCTTGGAATATCTCTCTTCATGGTTGGTTAGATGCCTTTTTTTTGCTGACATAGTCTATACTCATCCATACACAACAATTGGGATGGTAAAAGGTTGAAAATTATTATAAGATTCAAAATTTGCTGTAGAGCCGAGATAACCACATGTGCTTAGCCCGTCATCTTGTTCCTCCTCCCTCAGAGCGCTCTGTTGCTCAGGCAGCTATATAATGTGACAGGAGAGCTTTAAACCAAACACTAGCTTCCGGCGCTGCACTGTGGCAACGAGTGCCTACAGCACGTCTGAAATTTTTGTTTGTTTTATGGTTTATATGTAAGTGTTTATCACATACGCCCCTAACTACACATTGGGAAAGTGGGGTTCCTAAATCAGAAGTGAGCATATAAAGTCAAGATGCGTTTTGTTACGCAGTTTCTATCTATCGTCCTGGCGATCCACCTGTTGCTGTCGACAGTCCTCTCACTGAGCCCGCGAGGCCATACATTGGCCGCCGCCAAAACATATGGGATTTTATGTTATACCCGGGATCAACTCTGGCAACTAACCCACTAAACACAGTGATGTCCAAAATACGTCTTTTCAACGTCACTGAGGAGCCAGAATGAAAATTTTTATCACGTCTTTTTTTGACGTGTTCTGGATGTCCGATATAGAGTTTCATCGAACCTTCATACAAGGTTAAAAACTAGATCAAATTAAACTGTTTCTGATACGTCCTTGATATTAACGCGATTTGGCTCAGCTTGTCAGTGATCTACGGCTCTTTGTAGTAAATGCCGCTCCATCTGAAAGCAGGTGAAGGTGATTTACTACTAATCAAGGAACCGGCTTTACTGACGAGATGCGCATAACAATATCTTGCGATATATCGCCCAGCCCTAGTTGATATGTTTCATTTTAAGTCACCATTGTGGTGATCAGTGTTTGCTTTAGTTGGGCTCTTGGTCCCAGTTCTTCTTACTTTAGCTTTTCTTTGGCTGTTGTAACTGTGTGTTTGTAAAATACAGTGTTTATGGCAGAGAAAGCCAAGAACAAGTATGATCGGCTGTCATCAGCTTCTTGTTGATGATGACAAAATCAAACAAAGCAAGCATTTATGATTGCGTTTAGACTTTTATCTTTTTTTCTTGGCATTAATAACCATCAATCTTGTGGAACTGCATAGTTTGGGCTATAAGCACTAAAATGATCACTTATTTGAAGGTAAATAAAAGCATGTTTACACAATGTTATTAGAAAATGTATCATGTAATCACACACAGACATCAAGATTTTGCATATGACTCACAACAATGGTGACAATAAAAAAGCTTCATGATGCAATGCATGATGGGTAGGTTTCATAGTCCAAAACATCCTTGATTCCCAAGCTTTTTTGTTTTGGTTGTCACCGCTGTTGAGAAGCATATCCAAAATCTTTATGTTTGTGTGTGACTTTCCTTCAAATAAGTGATCATTTTTATGCAATGCCCCAAACAATGCAGTTCCACAAGATTGATGATAATAATTGCTAGACAAAAGTATAAACACAATGTTGTAAGGACCACCCATTGGCCCAAAGACGGAATCCAATGGCTGGGCGAAGGGATAATGCGTGTATGTCTTTTCAGCGCTCCAGTGAAGTTCACTTAATTTATTAGAATTTAGTTTCAATATTGCTTTAGCTCTACACTTAATCTGACTCCAATTTTTACTTATGATCAAGTTTAGATTGTGTTTCTTATTAGAAAATAACCATAACCTGCAAGATTTGCGGTAGCACCAGCATCCTATAATTTACTAAAATAATGACGTCAGAATACTCCAGAGTAAATCAAGATGTAACATTTATTTGTCAGGAAAATATGTATCATGCCAATTACCCAAGCAATTAACAGCCAATTCAAAAATAGTAAATACATGACATCAATTACTCAAAGATGATTCTAAAAGTAAGCAATGCATTCCTGACAGAGACACACAGTAGTGTGTGAGTGCTTCCACCGGGAAAACACTGACACCGCACTGTATGGGGGTTTTCCTGGTTACAGGTTCCCCCAGACTGCTCTGTTACCTAGCCTTAAATACCCAGACCAGAACAAAAGGGTTGTACCAATAGCTTTCAGAGTTTGTTTTGGGTCAATTCCTATACCCCAAGGGGGTAACACCTGGTCTCGGGGGAGAGGGGAGATATCTTGAAAAGACATCACCCTTGGAGGAGAACTGGAATCTCCTAAGTTCTCAATCTTTCTCCTATTTCCAATAACTGTAATGAAATTAAGACCATTTTACCAATCGCACTGAGACACTTAAAATGATACCAAACATGAAAAGGGAAAACCTTAGATTCACAAACAAAAGTACAATAAACACCTAACACCCAAATCTTTATTGGGGCATCTCCCACAACAGAAGAACAGGCGTTGTTTTCTTGTTCTGCCTGTTCTGCTGCTGCAGGAATGAAACGAGTTTACCACTTGCGCCAGAAGTATTTATTTTGTCCTTGCATAACACCGCTGGAGGCAGGAGGTTTGTGAGATTTGCATGCCTGAATGAGCCCTGGAGGAGAGAAGATATTGTGCAGAGTCAAGAACCACAACATGGGGGGAAGATATCGGGTTGGGCCAGTTGTGTGGTGCCCTCTGTCCCTTTGATCTCTTTTACAGATTAGTGAGTTTTTATTGTTTTACTGCAGTTTCGAATTCCTAAATTCAGTCTTAGGAAAGTCCTTCCTTACAATGTAAAATAATCACTTTGGGCTGACAGTATCGATGATAGTTGTGATTGTGTCCCCTTGGTTGCACTCATGGAGGATCAGGTTAAGTGTAACAGGTACATAAAGTGTACTGTTAAATGTATTTATAGTTTATTAGAATTTCCACAAAATTGTTTGTTGACATATACCTGATATTACAGCCTAAGTGAAGTTGAGTGTCTTTTCCTTTAATTGATGTGTGTCACGTGTCTGTCCTGTCGTGTTAGCACATGGGTGGTTTTGTTATGTTGAGCCATGTGCTCCTGTCATTGTTTGATCCTCCCCCTCGTTACCTGATTAGTGTTTGAGTTCTCCCACCTGTTCCCTCTTGATTTGTTCCCTATTTAAGTTCCTTCATGTTTGCAGTCTGTGTTGGATCTTTGTCTTATGTCTCCCCTGTTCCCTGGTGTTATTCATGGTCAGTGTATGGTATTTCAGTTCAAGTTCAGATTTATGTTTTGTTGAGTATGTTTTCCCCCTCGTGGGTTTTTGCTTTGTGTTTTGTTTTATTTTGTTAATAAATGATCCCTTCACTGCACTTGAGTCCTTCCCTTCACTTTTGTTAAGTGTATCGTGACAGAAAGATCCAACCAACTTGAGGACTCAGCAGGATGGAGGATGAGGACTTTGACTGGGGAAATCTGGATTACGATGACGACTATTTGGATTTCCCGGACTATTTCACCGCCCTGGCCGCCCGAGGGGTCTTCACCGCCCTGGCCGCCCGAGGGGTCTTCACCGCCCTGGCCGCCCGAGGGGTCTTCACCGCCCTGGCCGCCCGAGGGGTCTTCACCGCCCTGGCCGCCCGAGGGGTCTTCACCGCCCTGGCCGCCCGAGGGGTCTTCACCGCCCTGGCCGCCCGAGGGGTCTTCACCGCCCTGGCCGCCCGAGGGGTCTTCACCGCCCTGGCCGCCCGAGGGGTCTTCACCGCCCTGGCCGCCCGAGGGGTCTTCACCGCCCTGGCCGCCCGAAGGGTCTTCACCGCCCTGGCCGCCCGAGGGACTTCACCGCCCTGGCCGCCCGAGGGGACTTCACCGCCCTGGCCGCCCGAGGGGTCTTCACCGCCCTGGCCGCCCGAGGGGTCTTCACCGCCCTGGCCGCCCGAGGGGTCTTCACCGCCCTGGCCGCCCGAGGGGTCTTCACCGCCCTGGCCGCCCGAGGGGTCTTCACCGCCCTGGCCGCCCGAGGGTCTTCACCGCCCTGGCCGCCCGAGGGGTCTTCACCGCCCTGGCCGCCCGAGGGGTCTTCACCGCCCTGGCCGCCCGAAGGGTCTGCACCGCCCTGGCCGCCCGAGGGGTCTGCACCGCCCTGGCCACCCGAGGGGTTTTCACCGCCCTGGCCACCTGAAAGATCTGCTCCATCCTGGCCGCCCGAGGGGTCTTCACCGCCCTGGCCGCCCGAGGGGTCTTCACCGCCCTGGCCGCCCGAGGGGTCTTCACCGCCCTGGCCGCCCGAGGGGTCTTCACCGGCCTGGCCACCCGATGGACTCTGTGTTTTTCCTTCACTGCCCAATGAACTCTGTGTTTCTCCCTCACCGCCCTATGGACTTTCTGTTCCGCCCCGGTCGCCTGATGTCTCTGTCCCCCCCCGTCCCGCCCTGGTCTGTCCCTCCCGTCCAGTCTGATGGAGCGTCTGGTAGCCGCTCCGTTGAGGGGGGGGTAGTGTCACGTGTCTGTCCTGTCGTGTTAGCACATGGGTGGTTTTGTTATGTTGAGCCATGTGCTCCTGTCATTGTTTGATCCTCCCCCTCGTTACCTGATTAGTGTTTGAGTTCTCCCACCTGTTCCCTCTTGATTTGTTCCCTATTTAAGTTCCTTCATGTTTGCAGTCTGTGTTGGATCTTTGTCTTATGTCTCCCCTGTTCCCTGGTGTTATTCATGGTCAGTGTATGGTATTTCAGTTCAAGTTCAGATTTATGTTTTGTTGAGTATGTTTTCCCCCTCGTGGGTTTTTGCTTTGTGTTTTGTTTTATTTTGTTAATAAATCATCCCTTCACTGCACTTGAGTCCTTCCCTTCACTTTTGTTAAGTGTATCGTGACAATGTGATGTCATGAGTCAATATAATTTCCTGTTCTGTCTCCTCCTCTTCCTCTTTGCACTGATGATGCAGTGAGAGGTGAGGTTATTTTGGGCTCCTGATAATCATCTTTAATCTATATATTAAGTGTTGCTTTTATGTCTAAATTTTCATTCTAATTCCTGTGTATAATATTATTTTACTTATCTGTGTGGCTATTTTCGTAAATTTTGTCCCGATTAAGTGATGTTTTAACATCTGGGCCTAAATGTGAAATGAGAACACGTGTGACAAGTGTACATCACATTTGTTTTATAGAGCTAGAGAGGGCGACTCTCACTAAGAGGCTGATTACATTTTATTTGTCTATCAGAGTAAACCAGTGAAATCGCCGCCTGTGGTCCAGTGTCTTCTTTATCTACACAACGCAGACAAGTATAACTGGTGTCGCGAGCCACCGGTTACATAAGGAGGGAGCAAAACTCGGTCAGCCATGTTCACTCTGTTTTCTGCTCAATGGTTTCGTTTCCGCATCACACATGTATATACAGTGGAAGTTCAATACGGCTGCTGATGAATAACACACGTCATAACCAGAAGTTATGTGATTGGCTTACAGGTAACCAATTATTTTATACTTCAGACAATAGTCTGATAAATCAGCATAGGTTTAAAGAGAGAATTTTAGATTGACCATATAACCATAAACTTACCACGAAGAACATGCAGATAAACGCGTGTATCAGATCCTTGTTGCGTGCCGTTCACATATTGTCTGCAGCTGTAAGATCCACAATCTTCTTCTGTGACGTTCTTGATGTTCAGAGAGCAGTCAGACTCCAGACTCAGTCTCTCATGTCTCTCTGTGTCGTTCTTCTTTATCCCTCCAGCAATCAGTTCAACTGCTGATGAATGTCTGAATTTGTTATAGTAGTTCCATGTAGTTGATTTGCAGTCAGAAAGAGCATTATTACAGGGCAGACGGACATCTACACCAGAACTGATGAACACATGATCATCATCCACTCCACTGGTGCCTGAAACACAGTAGATCTCAGTGATCATTCACATTAAACACACCAGCATAACAAGCAGAAGACTCAATCACAGTATTTTTCCTCATTTAAAGCAATCAACACACTCTCCAGAATAAACTATGAGTGTTTATCAGAGAGCTGTTCAAATCACTGACACACTCTTAATATGAAGATCATTCTTCATCATCAGATGTTTGAGTGACACTATGTCCAGTATCAGGAATAATACAGTATGATCTGTGTGTATCAATACACAACTCTGAGATCACAACGTGAATGTGTGCAAAAATAAACTGAGCATGTTCAAATCAACTCTTTCCAGACTAATTCCACTAAATGTGTTTAGAGAAAATACAGATTTCTTTACCTGTGAGAAGTGAAGAGAGAATGATCAGTCCCAGCAGACACAGATCACACTGATCAGACATTTCTGCTTCTGTCCGTTTCTGTCCGTCTTCCTCTTCATTGTATACAGTTACAGCTCCTCCTCTGGTTATTATCTTTGGTTATTAATTCTGCTAGAGTTGCTATAGTGACAGTGACGTGTTGCTTTAAGTGTGTGTGAAACGTGTGGGAAGTGCATACACTGTTAACCGCACTGGCTCAACACACATCTGATCTGAACGGTTTATATCTACTTTTGCACATGAGAGCATTACTGTTAGTTTCACTTCTTTATTTTAGCAGTTTCCCGCATGACTTTAAAATCTAGAAATAAATTAATGGCATCATTAGTAATAAAATTAGTTTTCTTCTTCCACTATCCGTGACTCACTCGTAGAAAATGAACTCTAAAACAGTTTTTAAGGTATTTTGATGATCATCATCAGTTCAACTGAGTTTCATCACGTCTCTTACGACGAATCAACACCAGTGAAGAGACGAGCCAGTTTTGTGGAACAGAAAGTATTTGCACACACTTCATGAGTGTCTGTAAAGCAGATCTTAAATGCCTTCAGGAAGAGTTTCTACACATGATTATAATGTTGAGCTTTACTCTCTCCAGCCTCAGAAATAGATCAGATCCAGACTCCTTTATGAATATCCTCTTGTGTCACAGCATGTGTCGTCGGCTCCACGCTCTGAAGATAATGTTAATGTTGTGGTCAAAAATATATAATCTTTAAATTTTTCCTTTTGTAATGAAACGGGTCTTGATATATCTATCGAGTCACACCGAGAACAAAGACCAATCATGCCGTAACCTGCTGTCCACAGTAATGATGGTCTTCTGTGTCGGTCAGTCAGGTTTGTTTGGACTTTTTTGACTCTATCGTAATGATCTAAGCTCATGGTCTAAAGCTTCTTCGTGTGTGTGTTCGTGTTAACGCTGGCATTGAGAACTCAGTTAACACACACACACTGTCAGCAGTTTAGGCGGACGAGTGTGAACTCTCACACATTCAAAAAACAGCTCATCTTCTTTTCTACAACTGAATTGCTCAACTTTTTTATCTTGTTTTTCAATGTGAGGAGTTGAAGCGTGCCTGCTCAGGTGTGTGTGCAACTGGAAAACGGGTCATTAGCCATGCTAGGAGTGGATAAACGCTGTCTCCCAATACTATGCCATTTGGTCGGTGGGATTGAAGCTCTCTGTATAGTGCACTCTCTCTTAGAGTACAAGCATCATGAACAGACCCTGGCCATTTCACAACACAGTTGGATATTATGAGGTCGGCGTTGCCCATAAGTTGGATGTTGATGCTGTGTCTCCCCTTTCAATTGACATGCTCCCACTCCCGTTCACAATCATGCTCGAGGATTTTAATATCAGTGTTGGCGACACCACAGGGTTGGAACCATGAAATCAAAAGGGCCTAATTTCCCCGTGGCAGAAACCTGAGAAATGATGGACGGTGTTCGGGCCAATTTTGCCTCGATAGTAGGAGGTTTTACCTCTGGAAAGGGTGGAGAACTGACCATAAAAAGATTTTATTCAGATTTAAATTATGTTACTAAATTGGTTTCATATGTGTGGTTGACACTAAACATGGTCTTGTCTTTTACAGATTAGGTAAGAAAGGAAATGGCATCATTCAAACTCCGGATAATATTGTCACATGCCTGTCCTGTCTTGTGTTGCACATGGGTGTTTTGTCATTTTGGGCCATGTGCTCGTGTCATTGTCTGATCCCTCCCCCTCGTTACCTGATTAGTGTTTGAGTTGTTCCACCTGTTCCCTCTTGATTTGTTCCCTTTATAAGCCTCCTTTTGTTTGCAGTCTTTGTCGGTTCATTGTCAGATGTTTCCTGGTTTGGTCTGTGTGTTCCTAGTTGGTTGTGTTTTGAGTATTCAGTGTTGTTCATGTTTTTCCCCCCTTGTGGGTTTTTACTTTGTGTTTTGTTTTCTTTTGTTAAATAAATCCTTATACTGCATTTGAGTTCTCCCTCTCCTTTTGAATCGTGACAGAATGAACTGACAAAGACTGCAAACAAAAGGAGGCTTATAAAGGGAACAAATCAAGAGGGAACAGGTGGAACAACTCAAACACTAATCAGGTAACGAGGGGGAGGGATCAGACAATGACACGAGCACATGGCCCAAAATGACAAAACACCCATGTGCAACACAAGACAGGACAGGCATGTGACAAATATGGGGTAGTGTTGACACCTGTCCCGGTTTTATCGGGATTGTCCATCTTCCGGAAATGTATCCACTAAATGTCCCGGTTTTCAAAAAAGCACAAGGCGGTTTTCAAGAATATGAATATTCAATTAACTATTTTCTCTCCGCTTGAAATAGCGAATGCGTTGTGCTCAGGGTGCTTGGTTTCTCTTGTGTGTAGAATCCGCTATCATTGGCTCTGGGACATGTGACGTGACGTCGGCTACATCATCTAGGCGCGTCGGTCTTCTTGGCAGCTAGCCAGTTTCTACAGGCGGCAATTTGAGAAGCAGTGTGAAGAAGAATGTACGTCGACGTCGTTCGTTAGCGTTAACATGGGTGGCGAGACGGAAGACGAAGATGACAGTCTGTTCACAAAGACGGACAGGCCAGTAAAAAAGAAAATGAATCGTTCGACATACTTTAATAATGACTGGATGAAAAATGACTATTACTCTACATGGCTAAAGCCAACACCGGGCGACCCACTTTACGCTACCTGCTCCGTTTGCTCAGTTAAAATTCTGGTTCAACATGAAGGCAAAACTGCTTCGGATGACCATGATAAAACAAAGAAACATCAGAGTTGCGTTCAAGTAACCAGACGACTCAGAGGAAAAGATTACTGACGCCGAATTAACAGTTACCTATCACGGTGGTGGCTACCTGTCAAGTGACTGTGGGAAGGTCAGTGCAAAAATATTCAGTGTCAACTAAGACGTCTTTGTGGAGAACTTTGTGGAAATTGTGTTTGCACCATTTAGTCAGCAAAGATTAGCTGCAGAGTTGCAGAAAGCGCACTATTTTGCGGTGTGTTCTGATGCGTCCAATTCTGGGCACACAAAATTGTTTCCCTACACGGTCCAGCATTTATGTTTATTCGAGGGAGTGAAGTATGGACTGTTAGACTTTTACGACGACTCCAACGAATCTAGTGAAGCCATATTCAAACTAATAGTGTCTATTACTGAAAACAAAGGACTGATCAGTGCCGATGGTGCAGATAACGCTTCCGTTAAATATGTTTCTCAGAAACTCAAAGAAGCTAACCCACAAAGTGTGAAGGGCGATTGCAAGTGTCACATCACAAACAACACTGTCAAAGTAGCTAATCGTGTCTTTAGTGCTGGAGAGTGTGACGTGGAGGCCTAGTGTTGCTTTTGTTTTTCCATTCCAGTGAGTAATGCCTGCAGAAAGTGTGTTCAGTCATATGGAGGATGTTTGGTTGGTCTGATAAAAGAAACAGACTGTCGGTTGCAATGGTGAAGTCTGAGCTTCAGGAAAGATGAAATTTCAAATTGTCATACACTGAATTCAAGACATTCATTGAAGAACAGAAACCCCTGATAGCCCCTAACCCTAACCCTACCTGTATGATTATGTTATTCCAATGTCTGATCGAGACATACTAAATAAAACGTGACTATAGATGGGTATGGTAAATGCAAATCTAATGTCATCCCTCTACTTATTTCTTTAGCAAAGAGGAAGCAAAAGCAAGCACAAGCACCAAATGCACTCTCCAAAAAGATTGTAAATTAAAGTGTCCGCTAAGGGCAGGAATTTCGACTTCAATATATAGATAAAGACTTCAATGAGTTCATGAACTTGACATCATTCTCTGACAGGGACGTACTGGGACTGAAATTTAGCCCGGGACTTTAAGATGGAGAGGGCTTTTATGCGAGTGACCTTGGTATTTTAATTCTAATAGTGTTTTTATCGTATAAAGAGAATCAGATTACACTGAAGACATTCAAAGATATTTTAGGATGACACCTGCCTCTTCAGGTTGTATAAGCAAATCACCACTGCACTAAACACAACCAGGGGTGCGTTTCCCGAAAGCATCGTTAGCCAACTATGGTCGCAAGTTCCGTCATTATCTGCATAGTTTAACGAGTCTGTGTTTCCCGAAACCATCGTTCCAACGAACATTCGAAAACAGCATCGCAAAGTTGTGTGGTTTGAACGACAGTTCTCGACCTGTGGTTAGAGGCATCGTTTGTAGTATATTGCATCACATTTGAAGGTAATAAATTCTTATATTGAGCAAAAAAAGCAAACTGACATTCAGTACAACCAGTGCCTTTTATTTAAAATATATACAAATGTAATTTACGTCTTTTAGTTTGTCAAAAGATTTGAAGTAACGTGTTTGAAGAGTGCTCATGTGTGAACCTGCTCTACCATGTAAGAACGAGCCAAATATTGAGTCTGGTAATAAAGCAAAACAACTGAGAATAATTCGAAATACTCCTCAGATGACATGTCTGTAATTTATATAAAACAAATCTAGTGTTAATTGGATCTCAAACAGTTTCATTAAAGGTAGTTATTACTCCACCACGTGCGAAACCAACATGGTTGAACGATACTTTGCGACAGTGGGTTTCGGGAAACAGTCGTGACTAGCTAGTTGATTTTTCCAATGATGCATCGTACTATGGTAGTGAATTAGCCAACGGGAAACGCACCCCCGGTCAGCAAAACCTAATCTCCAACACATAAGTCACAGTATGTCATGTGTACAGTCAGTATATAATATATCTATGAAAATATAACATATGTAAGGGATAATGTATAGCGATGCGTTGTTAATTTTTGAAGCGTTTGTATTCGCTATAGATTATCCAGCTTATTACATGATGGCTACCAACCAAATAAATCAATAATGTAACAAAATATTGATTTAAAAAGCAGTTTGTTGATTTAAAAACGACTGTATTGCTTCCGCTAAACCCGAACTGTGTCCATGGCAACGCTCTGTTTATCATCGAAACGTGTGTTATACTGAGCAGGTCTGTTATCAAGAAACCGACCGCGTTCTGCCAAGCCATGAAATAAATGCCCAATTGGAGGAAACGTATGCACAAACATTTGTAAGATCTTGTGGTGGCAAACAATTTTAGATCACTGAATAAGAGACAAACACGTATACATTTTCTTTAAAGGTTATTTATTTTTGTGCAAGAAAAGGCCAGCAGTCGTAGAGTCACACAGAGTGTCTGCAGAGTGACGGAGAAGGGAGGGCATCCTTCCTCCTCTATAGTGGACTTCCTCTGTCATCATGAACAACACGTCTCATTACTGACACAAATCATTGGCTGTAATCATATCAAACACAGCTGTAACTGACACATTATACGCTAATAAAGTACCAACATAGGCTAAACTGTTGTGTATGAATAACAGAATATAAGCTTAGCTTTGTTCAAAGTACGCTAATTACCGTTATGCTAGCAGAGGAGCGCTAATAGTTTCATTGGCAGGTTAACACGAAACAGGAAACTCGTGAATATTCACGTAAGCTCCGCCCATTTACACTGGAAATCTCAGACACATGAAACATTAAATATTGCTTTGTGCTGCTCTATTTTTAAAGGTGTTTTGATCATTGTCCATTTTTCAAGAGTGCACATAAAACTAAATTTCAGACGTTGATTAGAGAGCAGCACAAGCTCGAATAAGGATAACGGATGTGTACTCACTAGAAATTCAAACTGTATTTTAATTCATATATGCATAAGATTGGCTTTATTGTCCCGAAGGAAATTTGTCTTGGATACACACAATTCAATACTGCTGTTTAAATACAAATGACATCCAATTCATAAAATACAGACAACATCCTATCAACATCACACACAATATAGGAATAAAGGAAATTACACACTGATCCTCGTGCAATCGAGAGCTTGGAGCCAGAGGGGCGTAAGTGGCATTTTGGGCGAATATGAGTTCTTTATATCAAAATAAAGGTCTCGATGAGCTCTATCCAATGGTGCCAAAATACCGATCTGAGATCAAACTGTTTTGAATAAAGCAACAAAAAGACGTATCTGACGTATTTGACTTTTTGTTTTTTTGAAAATGTTAATATGCCGTACATTTTTTACTTAAATACTCATTCATGTAAGTATGCCTGTGGTTGCAATGGTTTAAGGTTAATAATACAGGTGATTGAAGCGTGGTCAAAATTTTGTTTTGTCTCTCCTGTAAAGTTTGTTAAAAGCCACTTACGCCCTTCTGGCTCCAAGCCCTCGCTATGATCACTGGAAAAAAAAAATATTTATTACCTAAACGTGACCCTGGACAACAAAACCAGTCACATGGGTCAGTTTTCTGAAATTGAGAGTTACACATCACATGAGAGCTGAATAAATAAGCTAACCATTGATGTATGGTTTCTTAGGATAGGTCGAGATACAACTATTGAACATCTGGAATCTGAGGGTGCAAAAAATAAAATAAAAAAATAAAAATGAAACATTGAGAAAATCGCCTTTAAAGTTGTGCATTAATGTTCAGATTTCTGCATTCACTCACAAAAAGAAATGTCTTATGTATCTACGGTAGTAAATTTACCAAATATCTATATGGAGCATCTTTAATTAATATCCTAATGATTTTTGGCATCAGAAAATCGATTCAGTGTATTATTGGGTATTGCCATAAATATACACCTGCGACAGGTGACTGGTTTTGTGATCCAGTGTAACAAATGGGTAACTTGCCATTAAAAGCCTTAAAGGTGCTCTAAGCGATGTTGGGTGTCTTCACTTCCTTCTCATTTATCATGCAGAATGACATCGCTGCCTTAGTCTGTGATGATGATGGAGATGATGATGATGGAGAAACTGAAACTGAAACACAAGACACAAATCACAGACTCTTATTAATTACGTATAAAGCACTAAATGGTTTATCTCTGCAGTATTTGATCGAGCTCTTAACTCATTATAGTCCTTCACGTCTATTGCGATCTCTAAACTCCGGCCAGTTGATAATACCTAGAATATCTAAATCCACTGCAGGCGGGAGATCCTTTTCCTATTTAGCACCAAAACTCTGGAACAATCTTCCTAACATTGTCCGGGAAGCAGACACACTCTGTCAGTTCAAATCTAGACTAAAAACACATCTCTATGGCCTAATATACACATAACACACTATAGACTTCTATAACTCAATGTTCGTCTGCATAGTTTAGATCAGGGGTTCAAACTATCTGGAGATAGAAACCCCTCATAGGGCAAAAAAAATTCCAAGGACCCCCTCATAACCGCAACACAAATGTAATAGCTAAATCGTGTGTGTGTGTGTGTGCAGGGTTCTCAAGTCTCACGCATTGGCCGTGAGACACACTCATTTCGACCGGTTCACACGCTCACACGCCACACTGTGTATTTCTCACGCTGAAAAGGCAATGCCAACCAAGTTGTCCTGGCTGAAAGCTTTCTAACGTTGTATACGAGGCGCAGGCAAACAAAGTGAAGTTTCCTGCCGCCAGCGCGTACCTCCGCCAGATTGCGTTCGTTACTAGGCAACATATATGCGCGCTGCGTACACCACTGATCTATACATGACATGTCATTCAGTAGCGCGAACACACGGAAATGGACGGAACATCCTCGGCCACCGTACGTTCGTTACTAGGTAACCAACAACATCGCGCGAACACATGTGTCGTGATGGAGAAAAAGGTAACGCCCGTTTCACACATACTCCGTTTATACGCACTGCAAACGGAGTATGTGTGAAACGGGCGTAAGTTGGAAGAAGCTCGTCTAACATTTTTGGGCTAGAACATTTAATATGTAGCCCATCGTACATTATTATTGATGCTGTCAAAAACTCTACAACTACTTTGCAACCAGGCTCAGTTTGGCTATCTTACGTTATCTGAAACTAAGAGAAATGTTAGTGGGTATGGAAAGGAATGAAGATTTACTGATTTTATTTTAAATTATATTATACTGTAATATTAATAGTCTTTCTAGTTACATTAAGGATGTATTACAGCAGATTGCTCTGGGTAATATTTAATCATTGTCATAATGTTGCATTTGTATTTTTCAAAGATGTCAG